CAAGTAAGCATGCTCTTATGTACCCAGAGGAAAGAAGCTCTTACGTACCCAGTGCACTCCAAGTTTTCCCTTGGTGAAGAACGCGGGCAAGGTGTTTCCAAAGCCGGCTTGGCAGCAGGTTCTGGCTTTGCAGCCGAATGCTGTGCTACGCAACAGCGTAGCTGTTAGAGTTTTACCTAACTACTGGCAGATTACATCTTAGGTGTGTAGGTCCGCTTCCAGAAGTATTGATGGAAAAAAATTGTCAAAATTGAGTACTGGACTCGGAAAAGGCTGGGACATCACTGAGATTTTAGATTGTATGCAAGTCCCAAGGTAGTTCTCTGTGACTGTTTCCATAATGTGAAAGTGGAGCTTGACCTGCTATCAGTGAAGTAACTAGAAGTCCCTTAGAGATGCTCCTGGGAAGAGAATTAGATTCATGTTACATTTAAAAAAAAAGTTACAATGAAAATGATACAAAAAAATTTAAGTACTTAGATATGCTTTTTTTCTTGATGCGTCCATGGGCAGCTAGTGAGCTGCATTTAGGAGTCAGTGCCTGAGCCGGTCAAGACAGCAGTTTTGGGTGAATTAATACACAGTTGGAGAGCTTTATATATCAAAAATGGCTCATTTTGTGCTACACAGTGTGTTTGAACTCTGATGCGAGTTCAGACAGGAACTCCGAAGAAGAGTTGTGTACTGATGAGGAAATTTGTTAGAAACAGCATTATGAAGAAGCATTAAGCTTTTTGGGTTGAAAGGATCTATTGACTACCTTGGTTTACTCTCCTATAAAGCCAGAAGTTGAAGCCCTGAATCTCGGACACTGCAATTGCCTTTGCTGGCAGAAATATCTGTGAAGTTTGTGGCTAAAATGTACCTACTCAGTGCTGATTTACCAAGGATAACACATTTTTGTTACCGGTTACTTAACACTGAAGTTAAAGTCTTGCCATGGCGTTAGAAGGTTTTCTCTGTAGTGATGAATCATGTGGGTGTCAGCATACTGTCATTTCTTTTTTTTTCCCCACCAGTTTGTTTTCCTTTGAATCTGGGAGCCTTGTACAATACTGTGAAGAACAACACTGTAAAATCAGGAAATGTTGAAATAAGGTTGCTTTATAAAATATTCATTCATTGTTGTGTGTCGCTTTATCCATGGACATCTATCTCATTTAGTACAGAGAACTGTTGCTCACTAATGAGCAGTGATTTAGTATTTTGTTTCCCCACTCTTAACTATGTCTCTGTATTATTTAACGCACATTGTTCAAATATTGTTCTGAAAATAGAATTCTTTTTTATTATGAGCTTTTCCATAATGCTTCATTTGAAGTCATAAGCGTTTGGCACTGCTGTAGATCAGGTTCCAAGGACTCTCAGGTCAGACTTCCATTAAATTAAGTATTAAAGATCACAGTTACAGATCATCCTCATCAGTAGAAAGTTAGGCTTAAACAAACTGACCAGCATCACAGTGGATGTGTAAAAGGAGCAGGGACGATATACAGTTCTTGAATGAAATGTTCAACTGTCTTAACTGTATGAGGCTACCTTTCTACAGGCAGATTCCTGCAGTGTTTCTTTACACCTTTCTCAGCTTCTTCAGTAAGTGGGCAAGGTCCCCTGCAAACAACAGTCTGTCATTACACAACTACGATTTATCCCCAGAATACCACTTCTGAGCTAAATGAAATATACAAATCTATGTGGAAAAATAGTAAATGATCATATATTTAATGCCTGTATTGTAATAGATATTGCTGAGGTGACAAATTAAGGTTGCAGGAGTTTCTTGATTTGAAAACTGTCTGATTTTTGAGTGTTTGACTTGCAACTGTAACATTTTAAGATAGCTTGTAATATTGTGCAGATAACAAGATAAAAAAATTCTAACTTGGCTATTGTGTTTTGGGACATACGGAAATAGGTGTAAAAACAGGGTCAACAAATGTTTTTTCCTACAAGAAAAACATATAAACATAGCCGTGACCTAATCTTTATTTGTACACTGTTCATGTTTTTCTGACTGTGTAAAGCGGCCTTAAAGGAGGCCTAACATTTAGCCCATTGTGTATTCTTTGTAACATCACTAACTCATGTTTTTTCTGCTTCAATAATTCCAACGTTTTAACAAAAAACTTGTGTTTAACATTTGTTCCAGGGCTGTTGTCATGTGAGACATGTTTTATTTTTTTTAACAACATTTCCTAAGACTCTCTGCCTGCTGCTCGTGGTTTAGAGTGAAGGAGGAATGTAGTTTTGTAACGTGCGTGTCTGAACACTTGAATTTCTGAGAATGCAAGTTCTTACTCCTTTCATGAAACAACCTTGACAGGAATAATTTGCAATACCCATTGTACTCTCCTTTTTGTATCAGGTAGGCAGAAAAGACTTCATCTCTTGAGTACCTTAGTAACTATGCTAGTTTGCCCTGAGTTCTCAAACAACCACAACAACTTCTAACTTCATTTTAAAGCCAAATTTTCAGTTCTATAATTTATTTTACTCTTTCCTTTGTCATTCTAGGTCTTCAGTTAATAACAGTTATCTGGATGATAAATGTATGTAATAATAACAAAGAAATATGAGGGAGAGGTGTTGCTATAGCTGTCAGAGATCAGACTAAAATACCTGCTACCTGGGGAAAACACCTCACAGCTTTAACTAGTGGCAGATGCTGGCACTGCAGCAGTTGTAAAAAAGTTTCAGGTATAGTATTGCATCAAGTTACCGTTTCTTAGATTCAGTATTGAGTGTTGAATCAATATGGCCAGTATTTTTAACATAATGTGCTCCAGCCTCAGTACTCAGTGTATTTGAGGTTCTTGGAAAATGCAGATCTTTTGCTCCTCCCGCTCTCAAAACTTTCTTCTTTCCAGCTTAGATCTTCTCTCCAAATATGTCTATACTGCAGCCTGTGCAAATCAGTTATAAAACTGATTGGGTGTTGGAAGCAAACTAGTTTGCTTCCTGTACAACACTACGAGCATAGAAAAATACGTGATTGCATACTGTTTTGTTTTTTTGCATGAGGCCTCCTTTTTTGCCTAGGATGTTCTCATCTCCGGATGAATGGATTGTTTTGTGGAGGAAGGTATTGCCTGTTAAATCCTTGCCTCATTTTGTTGATGAAATTGCAAGGTACCCATGTAATAGGGGAGAGAACTGCAAAAAGGAAAAGGGTTTTGCGATGAATGTTTATCTGGAGCACATTATGATATTTGTAGATCAGCCACGAAGTAACAAAGCTTGAGTGCTGGGAGCTGAAGGTCAGTGGCTGCAGTGGTTTGAGTATATGAAGTGCTCAGTATTGCTAATTACTTTGAAAAAAACCTGATACTTAGTCTCTCAAATGGAAGCCCATAGATATACTTGAGTTTCACTTTTCCATACCTTTTTCTTCCCAGTTGTAGAATGGCCGTGATACCATACCTTTACTTCAGAGAAAATATATATGAAGAACCTAGATACTTTTGTGAGAAGCGTTTTGTGAGAAGCACCAACAAGAATCAAACAGTTGTCCTGCGAACAAAGATTAAATGCTGTGGACTATGAGAGTGAATAAGGCAAGGAGTGTTTGTGAACAGGAAGAAGGCTAAATATCAAGTGACTGCTTATTCGTGAGATATTGTCCATTGTGAGTATTACTTGAAACGGTAACCTTTTGAAGAGATGTTTGATATAGTTAAAGGATATGAGAATGCACATGCAGAGGGAGTAAATCAGGCTTGCAGAGGGAGCAGTACCTTTGCCTGTTATTAATTCTGAGGCCTTGACTGCAGTCTATGCTCTAATCCTTACACTAGTACTAAGCATAGTAACAGCATAATACTAATTAATACCAATTGAATAACATATTAACATAGAATTTATGCAATACTGTAAATGATATAAACTAAGGTTTGCGTAAACTCTATATGTATGTATTTCCTTACCTGCCAGTATCTCGTTTCCCTCACATATGGAATAAGTATTAATCTGTGTTGCACAGGGAAGAAATGAGGCCTAGCAACGTAGACAGCCGTGTGCTGAACATCTTTCTCCTATAAGTAAGCAGTTAATTCTAGAAGCCAGTTGCATTACTTCTGGAAATATTGCTCAAAATCACAAGGAAGTGGTTGCAGAATACAGTGACAGGTGTCTTGCTGAAACTCCTACCAATCTTACAGATCTGGGCTTAAGTTTTAGCCCAGTTAAAATGCTTTACTGATAATCCTAGAGAATGCTGCCTGCTCTAGAACAAAAAGAATAGAGCAGATGTATATGGAGTGTCAGTTTTGGAAAAAACCTTTAAGATCGATGAGTTTTCAAATCCAATGAAATAAAACACCTTTTGAACTAATTAACAACAGTTCTTCGGGAGTTTTTCATTGGTGCAATTTATATACAAAGACTATAAAGCATAAATCTAATATTTAGTGAATTGTGCTTTATTGTACTGCATTTGTCTTTAGGTTTTACCAGCTGAGGTTCCCTCTATTTAAACTGTTTATACAGCATCAATTTCATTTTCACTGTTTGCCCCAAGCCTTTTTGGAATTCTCAGCCTTTGTGGAAATGACTGAGTTTATTTATTATTCTATTACCGTGAACAAACTAATGTGATAGAACAGGCTTAGAAAAAGTTATTTTTTGTCTGTAAAAACTGATTCTGTAAGAATCGAGTTTAGCAATGAAGCAGTTTGCTTGAGCCTACAGTAATTTGAAGACGACAGATTTTTAAGAAATATTAAGCCCAATGTGTATGCTAGAGATGTTTAAAAAAAAAAAAAAGATAGGCTTCATAACAACAGAATTTGTGAATGAGCTTGTATAAACGGATATATTAAAGACACATCAGAGACAGTGAATTGACCCTTTCTGGTTGGAAGGACGCTAACAAATGTCATCCAGCAATACTTCCATACATTACTGACTTTACAATATTTTTAATTTTATTTGCACATTTGAAAATACAAACAAAAATATTAATGAAGCACCTAGAGTAAAGCTGAAGAAAAGGACAATGCGTGTTCATTAATCTCAGAAATTCAGGCAGCTTTATTGCCAGTGATCACATGAAGTATAGTTCTACTTTCAGCTTGTACACAGTGGTACCTTAGGTTTAGTTGCTGTAACTTCTGGAGCTGTGCACTTTACATGGAAATCTCTGAAAGCCGTGGTGTGTGGTAAATTTAGCAAGTGGCACGAGCAGGTCACTTAGGGTATTCTCACTTTTAAAGTGGGAATGTCCTACAGGAAATCTATCTTTAAATAGCAGTCAGAGAACGAGGCTGCGGTATGCAGTTGTTGACATGACTTTGAATATCCGTGTTGTCATAGATGCAAACCACAGATAAGACTGTCTCTGCTTTGGCTTCTTCTGTTAAATATGTATGCTTTTCGGATAAAATGACATGGGGTTGAACTTTATGAACTGCATCTCTTACTATTCAGTGGATGTTCTTAAAGAATATTCTCCATCATTCTGGATGATCTTCTTTAATACCTGATCCACAAATTTTGGGATGCTGCAGGAAGTGATTAAGAAAGTCTTGATCTCAGCAGTTCAGTTTGATTATGAAACTCTTACAATATGTTTCAGTTTCGTTGAGTCTTTTGTGTTGTTTTGGCTGTCAATTAGAACCAAGGATGTGCGCTGATGATTCTCTACTATTTCAGCAACACTGTCAAAGCGCTAGATAGAGAAAACAAAAATTAGTTAGTAGCGTTAGCTTCCTTTAAGTGCTCTAACACTAACAGTAATCAGTGTATTATCTCTTTTTCTCTTTGGTCCTCCCAGCACTGAAGATGGTGGAACTCTGCCTTTTAGTAAGAGCGCTAGTCCTGTACTTAGTCCTGATTCTAATCATAAACAGATTAAATTTGGACAGTGGCAGAGATTACTGCCACTAGCTGTCTCATCTCATGCTCTTTTCCCTTTGTTGTTGCTGCCTGCACAAACCAAACCATACAATTTATAACTTGGCATGTTAGACTGACACCACTTTCAGCTTACCTTAATTTCCCAAGCTGCAAACTATGGCAGTTTGGGATCTGCTTGATTTGTGGCTCAGCCACCTGATAGAGGGCTGGTGATCTCTGGGAGTAAGATGGTACAGACAGCTAGCAATGATAACTGTTTCAGCCATTCAGTTTTCATCTGTTTGTCATTGTGAATTAAAACCCTGAATCTGCGAGGTCTGTTGCGCTTTTCCTTTTGGTCTTCAGCCAAATACATATGGAACTGCATCTTTCACTTTTTCCCTGAGGTCATTTTTGACCCGTTGTTGAGGGCCAGATGAGCTCCAGGCTATTATTTGTTCTGTAGCCTCAAAATGTTGCCTGGGAGGCAGATAATTAGGCTCAGGGAAGCCTTTCACTTCCCTTAAAAGCCTACTTTATGCAGCGATAAAACCCAATTTTTGTTGATATTTGGGTTCCAAATCTCTGTGCAGCTCTCAGAATAACTATCTGTGTGGTATAATAGCCAAGCAGTGATTTTTACACTCTAGAACTAATTTAACATATTCTTTATGTGAGAATAGGAGTAAAAGTACACTCATTCTCTTTTTTGATAGAGATTTGAGGGAGAGAGCAGTGATGACTTTTTTTTTTTTTGAAAATTACTGGTGCGTAGCTTCTGCCTTTACAATTTTCAAAAAACTTAATTGGAGTCTAAGTAGAAGGTGAATAGAGGACTGGAGATGGCTGGAGAATTTGTATCTAGTAACTGCAGTTCTCATCCTCATAGCTGTTCAAAATGGTTATATGAGTACGTTTGAAACTAGATTTGTGGTTTTAATTAGCTACGATGTGCAGTAGCTGACGTTACACTGGTTTAATAAGCCTGGTAAATCAGTTGTCACATAGGGTATACTTTTATCTTGATGCATAAAGAATCCTCTTGATCATAGTGCGGCATACCCTAATCCTTTCTTATAAAGCTATATAACTGAAAACAATAAGAGTGGAAAAACCACTCTCTCACCTCTTCACCATTTTTTTCTCTGCCCAGTGCATATTGTCGTGTTGATTCAATAAATCGTATGGGGATGTTGTATACTCTTCTGTTATAAAACACAACCAGTGTGTATGGTTGCCTTGAATCCTGTCCAGAACTCTTTCTAATTAGGAAAGATCCATCCTAAAGAAGGAAAAGAAAATAAATAGTGCGTTCAATTTTTTTTTTCTAACAGCTTAGTCTGTTTTTAGCTTCATATTTGTATCTGTATTAGTGTTAAACCTTTTTCTCCCATTAGGGAAACTTAATAGAGCAGAAAGGAAGTAGCATGTATGCCTGCTGTCCAAGATTAGCTTGCAAAGGTGTCCTCTAAGAGCCACCTTTTCTGCTGCTTCTGCCTGTTCTCTCTCAGCCAGAGAAAGGAAGAAGAAATAAACGTGCAGTGTCAGAAGTCTGTTGGGGTCCACAGATGATTAGTAAAGTAAGTTGCTATCAGTGGCAGTAGGTGGGCAAAAAAGCAGTGAAACACAGGTTAGAATTACTGTTTCTACGGAGCTGTAAAAAGCACCCTGATCATGATCACCTAGTATCACTGACAACGTAGCCCAGTGCTCACTAGCTAGCAGTAGCCTGTGCTGGTGATAACCCCAGGGTCGCTGCCCCACTCTCCTACTTTGTGGCATGATACAGAAGAGAGCTCTCAAGAGTGGAAACATGCCTCATGCTGAGGATGAAACTCTACATGTGATTATTCCCTTTTGTGACATTAGTTTCATGTACACAAATAAAATAGTCAAGGCAAGGACTCAAGTTCTCCAAATATCTAAATGTATACTGTTGCTGTTTCAAAATGGGTAGCAGCATCAGCCTTTCTAGATAGTAACTGTTTTTACAGTGGTGGTTAATATTTGGGATGGAGGTCATTTAAAAGCCATGAGACTTTGCCTTTCATTTTAGAGAATGCCTATGAGCTATCACATCTTCCTCAGCTCTCAGCTTTCTCCCCAGTGCACTGCTCTTTGCTCTGAGTTACACTGATACAGCTTTGATTGTCTTGGGATGGAAAGTATAAAAGTTAAAGAGTTTCACCACAGTAATTTCTTGTTTGACAACATCTGCATGGGATAGTATTTTGACCTGTTCAGCATACGGCTCACTCTTAGAATATATCTAGCTGTCTTCTCATTTTTTTATTTGCAAAATTTCCTAAAACAGGCATTCTTTAAAAGCGTGACATACCTTATTTGATCGATACAATGCGTCTTCTGCTGTTTTACGATCACAGGTAGCAGCATACCATGCTTTACTATGAACACCAGCATCCTAGAGAGAGAAGGAGTAAGTGTTACTTGTATCACATCATTGCATATTACCATCAAATAGCACTTGTAAAATAATAATAATAAAAAAATGAACTTTTTTGTAGGGGAGTTGCTACTAAATAATGACGACTGTGAAGAACTCAAGTGCAGAACACCTCAGGAAACAGAATTCAGACAAGCGTTTGCCAGGAGCTCATAATTTTCATTAGATAGAGGCAGTACAAAGAAAAACTAGTGTGTCAGAACAGTGGGAATGGATGTATAATAGAAGGCTGATACATGATAGAAGAAAGATACCCTGAGGAAAGTCTTCAGGTACAACCAGAGGACAGTTTGGCATTTGTAAAGCAGAAGGATATTCCAGTAGAATTTAAGGAGAGTTTTCAGGAAGCGTTGAAGAGTAGTATGACCATTAACAATTTCAATGCCGCTCAGCTGTGGCCTAGCTCATAAAATGTCTAGATTTGGTATGTAAGGTTTTGTGAAGGAAATTTTTCCATATGCTTAGTGCTATTTGTGAACGTGACCAGGATTGCCTCCATCTGGATAGTGTGGAGGTAGGCTAAGTGTGTCTTTGGCTCTTTGTTGTTATTAAATGAGTTATTAAATGTGCCCCACAAAACTCAGGAAGCATTAACGTCTCCCCTCTACCTGCCCAGCAGTGCAGCGCACAGTACTTTCACCTGAGACATAGGAGATTTGGATTCAGTTCAGGTTCTCTGTTGTTGGAATGAGTCTGAATATACCATCACATTTAAAACAGCGTTACTAAGTAAAGGGCATAAGCTACATTATGTTTACCGTGGGTGCCACGGACAAAGATTACATCTGTGACAGAATGCAGAGGGGCTAGTATTTTTTAACATACCTCTTGGGTACCTCATTTCTGTGTGGTGTGCCCCTGTCAACACCTCACCAAGATTCCCCTTCTTCTCTCCATTTATTGCATACTTGTACAGGCAAGGCTTTGTACAGTGATTGGACTTGTCCAGAACCTGTTCTTCCAGGGAAAAGCATTGGACAAAGGACTTCATCATGGGGACATAGGGTTGGATAAAGATACAGTGTGGGAAGACTGGCAACCCAAAGATAGGTGGATTCCATTTTAGAAGATAAAAGGTCTAATAACATAAGAAGTATGAAGATAAAGAGATAGGAGGAGGTGATGGCAGTTGGGAGTGAGCATGGCAAGAGATTATGATTTGGGTATAATAGGATATGGTAGAAAACTGGGTAGTAAGAAGATGCTTTATTGGGTGTACATTTGGGAACAGGAGTGGAGTTTAGGGGTAGCCTGTGGAGGGTGAGATTAGAGAGGTCCAGGAGAAAGATCCTCCATAAGACTATAGGGGAAGGACAGGAATGAAGGACTAGAAACAGGTGAAACCTATGCATTACCAGGCTCCGATAGCTAGAACGAATAGTTTATAAAACCAGCAATCATAGAAAGTGAGCTCCTGGTGAGGTGGGTGATGCAAAAGCTAAACCCAGTGAATGGAGAGGCTTTAGAACTAGTGCACATAGTGCATAGTGAAGTTGCATATTATGGCTGAGCTGGCCTAGCTGGCTCATGGCAGCCAAAAAGGGAAGGTCTTGGCCTCTCCCTTATGCTCTTTCTGGTGTTCCTCTGACCCCAAGATGAGATAGTTCGCTTTGGTAATTGCAGAAAAGTATGTTACATTTTTTTTTGTTTTTCTTGTTTTGTTTGACTGTGAGGTTGGTTTACTGTCAGTTTAAGGAGTTGGCTCAGCTCACTGCAGGCTCAGAGGACTGCCACAGAAGCACATGGCTGGGAGTGCGGAGGCAGTGAGGAGAGAGCAGAGCCTCCTTTTTGTGGGCACGAAATTCTTGGAATTGGCTCAAGCCGCATCATGTAACTTCATCCCCAAAGTCCTTCAGTGTGTCTGTCCGGTCACACTATTAATGGGAAAAGGACAGGATAAGAGGAATTGCAAGTATGCAAGGTACTCAGCACTGTGGGAATGAGCGCAGTAAACCAACCTTTATTCAACTGAACAGGAAGGAGTCGACTGCCCAAACCCTTCTTTCTTCCTACCCTATCTGTGGGGTATACCCTGGGAGCAGAGAGCTGCTGCCACTGTTTGGATGGGAGCCAAACAGGTAATGAACCTATACTGGCATCAGTCAAGCCTGCGAGCACTTGTGTGGTACAGCAAATGGTAGTACTGCTGTATATTTTAATTGGTGGGAAATAACACCAACTTCAACAGTTAATTTTCATTTTTTAACAAAATGGATCTTTTAAGGCTCTGGTTTTGCCTGTGGGTGTCGCATAAAAGCTGTGAATGTAATTGTTACAAGCCGTTTATTTTAGTGTCTACTGGATTGTTTATTTGAAAGCGATTTTTATAATAATATCCAGTGTGACTTACTATTAAAATTGTTCCAGAACTTTGAGTCCTTTGTGTTCCTCACTGTTGTATTATCTTTGTCATGTCAGGCTTTAGAACATTTAGCGTTACTGGCTCTGCATAATAGAGCCTTTGTTTTGCACTCAACAGAACTATTTTTACCTTGTTTGTGACTACTGGGCTAATAAGGATGGCTTCCTGCATTTTGCGGTCTCCCTTCATCCAAAAGGAGAGTAAGGGGTATAGTATGGAAATGAAAATAGCTTTGCATTTGCTCAAATGAATAATCTTAATGCTTAATGTTGGAACAAAATAGAAAAAAAAAAAGAAAAAAAGACATCATAGAACTACCTTAGTATTAACAATAATGAGAAGAGGTCTGTTTAAAGGAGCAGAAAGGAGTAGACTAGTGTAGGGGGAGGCACCATAGAGTCTGCAGAGAGAGGCAGCAGTGCCTTGCTTCTCAGGCCCTACAGCTTTGCTGACACCCCAAACTACACTAAACAGGGCAACGTTCATAATAGCCCAGCACAGCAGAATGCCACTCAGCAGAGCATCTTCCTTTTTCTCCTGTAAGTTTCTGGATTTTCTTAGCCCATCTCATTAGTGCAGGCCAATGCTATAGCTGCAGATGGCTTCATTGTATCTGCTTGGTGCAAATTTTTTTTTTTTTTAAGCACACTAGCAGGCAAAAAAGTATAGCTATAAATTAGAAAAAAGAAAAAGGCAATTAAAAGCTCTTTATAATCGTCTGTATCAAGGGCTAGACTAAATACTCTAAACTACAGGTTTCCTTGTATCAAATGGTGTCTGAATATTATGACCTGAGAATTTAGGAAGCTTTTTGGGTTTTGTTTAAAATAACTGGTAGAGTGCTAAGGTTTGGTATAATGCTATTTAAGCATTTTTCTACAGTTTGTTAAAGCTCTCCTACGCTATGTGTTGTAAACATTTTGTATGGAAAATTTAGATTATTTGTGCCATAAATAAAATTTTCACTACAGATGGAGCCAGAGTCCTTATATAAAAGGGGAAATGGAATGCGAGCGGCCTCAGCAAAGGAGTATGACTTAGGGAGGGAGATAGTACTTTAAGTAAACCAAAGGATTAGAAGACTTCTGTAACTTGAAATGCCTTTAGCTAATGTTATACCTGGTCTGCAGTACTTGAAATGGATGAAAAACTGCTGCGAGGGGAAGCACTCAAAGAACGGTTTGCAGCTTCTGGCACTTCTAGAAAAGAGAGAGTACAACAGGTATAAGTTCTCAAAGAACATTTTGTTTTATTATCCAAAATTGTTTGTTGTGAGAATTTTGGAAGGTCTGGAAATGCTTGACCTGTGGTATCATTCAGGAAAGAGATGTACTTGTGTGGACCCTATGTGAGTGCCTGGGATACTTATCTGCTCACAAGAGGATCTTTGCATATAAATATAGAGAAACAATTTGGAAACAACTTGGTTAATAGCCAAAGCTATATTTAATATGCAAGGAAAAAAACCCTAAGCAAATCAGAATATAGCAACGAGTAAAGAAAAATCAGGAAGACTATGCGAAAAGTACTCAATATCTAATGTGAGAGGTAGTCATATAGGTGAAGGAGTCAGCAAAACTAATGTAGCTCAGAGATAACTTTTCACTTATTTCATCCAAATGAATTGTTTGCACATGTGCTCAAGAAGCCTCGGCAGCAAAATAAAGAAGCAGAGCTAGTAGGGAAGACTACGAAGTTTGAAAATAACAGAGCATAGTGGAAAATACGTGATATTAACTTGTGATAACAGAGCATAGGAGAAGATAGCTATCATGGCTGAAACACAGATGTTGAAGAATTTGAGAAATCCAGAAATTAAGAGGCAAATGGAGGAGTACTGTTGCATGCATTAGCATATAGATATGATGGAAATATGGGAAATTGATATAGATGATTGGTTTTCTGATAAGACAATCTTGGACAAACATAGCATAGATGTCTGCTATAGGCACTTGCGTCAGATTTGGGTACAGGTAGAGAAATGTTTAATATTAAGAGAAGATGGCTATAGAAAGTTGAGTGTTAGAATTATCAAGATGGGAGGCTATATTTCCTGTTTCTTTTACTTATTGGAAAAAAATGCTACTAGTATTGTTAGTGCTCACCTATTCCTGAATATGATACTTTGCAGACTGCTTTACTAAATAGTCACTGATATAATTCTGATTTAGATTTTGGTTTCAGAAAGCAGTACGAACATGATAGTGATCATGCGATGATTCAGAGAATTAGAGAATGCAGTTGGACTGAAGAGCTCAAAGACTTCTGTGAGAAGTAGATTTAGATTTTCTTTATAGTAAAGAAGCAGTTGTCTGGAAGTTGCATTCCAGGTGGGTGGGAGAAAGTTGTAAGGAGCAGTGCCAGCTCTCAGTGAATGAATAATCACCTCAAGAAGGCTATTAAAGATTTAGAGTTTTGTTTTCCTAGCATATTTTGACTGACTCGCTGCAAAAGCTGTAGCGGACAGTTTCTTTGTATGAAGAAAGAATTGCCAGAAGTCAGACTGAATTAGACTTTACAGAGGAAGTTAAAATAAATAAGAGGTTCCTTAGCCATACAAAAAAGAAAAGAGAAAATGGCACTGTCCGCAGAAAGAATTGTATTGAGTTTAAAGATAATCTCGGTACTAAGTTAACAGTGGTTCTGGTGCAGGAATGGAAATTTCCACAACCAAGTTGGAAGCAAAACTCTGGAAGCTTAGTACATTTGAACTGGCAGGCCCAGATAATCTTTATCCCAGAAATCTGAAAAACTGGCACATGAAGATCCAGGGCTGGTAGCAATTATTGTAAATAAATTTCAAGTCAGGGTGGTACTGTATTACTGAAGAGTACCAAACATAACAGCTATATTTAACAACATGGAAAAAGCGACCTGAGAAACGACAGGCCTTTTTGATGGACTCAACAGAACACAAGTCCCTAGAAGAGAATGTAAAGGAAAGAATATTTTAAAATGTGGAGGTGAAGGGGAAAAAAAAGTAGGAGAAAATCTGACATTCACCCAAATAGATCAAATCAGACTAACATTATAGCTCTTTCGTAAAAGAACTGATTTCTGTGAAAAGGGAATATGGTGCTCTACTCACTGTAGGCTTTGTCAGAGCATTTGATAATGTGCCATATGGGAAATTAGTGCTTTTAAATAAGAAAATGAACATTAGTGCAAGACTTGCGTGGTGATAAGGGAGAGACAGCAGGTTGTGCTGAAAGGACATTACAGATTGGAACCAATTGTATCTGTGATAAAGTTGCTAGGGACCTAGCACAAAATGAGTTTGTTAATGAAATTTGCTTATCAGAGCATCATTTAGTACCTGATGACCTCAAAGAACAGAGTAATAGAAATAACACAAAATTTAATATTCCAGTAGTTACACTTAAAGGATTAGCAAGAATTTATGCTACAAGTTGAAGCACATCGCTTGCATGTGACAGGAGCAGACAAGCTTAGGAGCATCAGCCCACTGCAAGAATGTGAACCATTATTATGATTCTGCAGTGTAAAAGGAGATGAAATAGCAACATACATCAAGCAAACATTTCCAGGAAATATAGGGAAGTACTAATAACAGTGTACAGAGTATAAGCTAGACCACATTCAGACTGCTATGTGCAATTCTTATCACCCATGTACATTTTAACAGATATGTTCAGACAGAAACACATGTGGAAAAGGGCTAGTAGAGAGGTCAGACAAATGTTTGTCTGCTAAGAGATTAGAGAAATATTAGAACTAATTTACACTTCTCTATGAAATCACTCGATTTTTTTTTAACCATGAACTGAAAGTTTTCTAAGTGTCTCTCTGAAAGTATTATTTACAGAAGAGCTTTAGAATTTGCCATTATAAAAATATCATTTTTTCCCCCCACAGAAAAAGAATAAATGGCTGGGTGCAATAAAAATCTATCTAGCTTCCAGGCAAAAGAAGCTTGGAGCAGCCCAGAAGAAATTATATTTGGAGTTTTTCTGTGGCAACGAAGACATATGGAATCTTTATTTTGATGGAAATTGACCCAGACTGCCTTTTGCAGAAATTTCCAGTAGTCATAAATGGGAGCGAGGCACCTAATTCCCATCGAGTTACACAATAATCCTAGCCTAGTCCCTTAATTTTACTAGCTGAGCTGAGTGTTATATAGCCCCTTGGATATTTAACGTCCTGGTTGTATACGTTATAGACACAAATGTTAATTCCAAACTTATGAATACACATGGCATCTTAAAATAGTCTTAATTCAAAAATTTGAATTTACAAGTTTATCACATCTTAATTCAAAATCTGAACTATACTTACTTGGCAGAGTTGAGGGCTTTTGGAGCAAAGACCTGAAATAAATATCAAGAGATTATAGAAATGTCTGAGGGGATCTACCCAGTTTTGAAAACATTATAATTGTGTATTTGGAAGGATGCAAGGGTAGGACTTGTTCCATCTCACCTGTTGGCCCGTTGAGAGATAAGGACCAGATACAGGTATTTTTAAAAATCAGTTCCCACTAGTAGTGGCAGTTAGGAATTTAAGCAGCTGGCTTAAATCTTCTCCATCACTGACTTAGAGATCATATCCACCCATGCTTTTTGGTGGTGGTTATACTATTTGGATATACTTGCCAAGTTTTATTTTTTGCTACTGTGAGGCTTCAAGAAACGTGACTTTTAAAAAACAGCAGGCTACAGAGAAAGCAGTGCTCCCCTTTGAACTTCCCACACCTGTGTCCAGACTGAGAAGTAGGAGCTGGTATGTTGAAATATTCAAAAGAAGAGGAAAAGAGATTTTACTTTTGGGCACCACTTGGAAGGGATGGAAGCGGAAGCTCTTGGCTAGAACCTCGCCGTCGCTCTGCTGCTGTCGGTTTCTCTGTAATTTGGGGAAACAAATTGTAGAGTCAAGATTTCTACAGAAATATATTGTCCCAGATAGGAGAGTCTCAGTACTTGAAGGGTGTTTTTTTTTTTAAAAAAAAAAAAAAAAAACATGGCAACGTGGCATCCTGCTGCTTTCTTTATTGACTGGTGGCATACCACTAAATTTTTAGGCAAATAGCTGTGCCCTGAACGCCTTCAAGAATTCAGTGGGAGACGGTGCCTTCTGAGAGGGGAGCTATGAGACCCAGGAGGACACGGGGGGCCATCTGCCTGCAGGAACTCGGCTAGAGGAGGTGCGGCCGCCTGGCTGCCTCTTGCCCTTGTGTTAGCGGCTCCCGCTGGGCGCTTGCCTTGGGGAGCCGCTGCCTTGCATGGAGCAAGCCGCGTTTTCTGCCTGGGTGAGGGACTGGCTCTTGCCAGGAGCCGTCTGTGTGTGGTGGTTCTCGCTGAGCTCAGGGTGATGCGCTCGCACTTCCCCTCCCTTCCCCGCTTGCAGCACTTTATGGCACGTTGCTGGTATTATGTCGTACGTTACCCTGCCAGTAACCTCAGTAGTTTTACTGTGGCTGTTTTTAAGAGAACAACGATATTCAGTGCAACTATGGCTGGCCAGAGCCAGTTCTGTACTGCTAAAACGAAAAACCCTTCAAAAACCTAGAATAAATTGAATGTGATATTGTTTGTTTCATGTTTTTAATAGAAGAAAATTAAATTCTGCCGAAAGCCAACTTTTTTGGCAGTAGTGGAGATAATTTACCTTCATTTACAGTTAAGGTCTCTCTGGATGGTAAACTTGGTTTCTGCAATGAAACAAAAGGAAATCAAATATTAAATGGCATATTACTTGTACAGAATATATATTTGTTTTTCGTATAGTTTTTGTTAACCAGTTTACATTTAGAATTGACAACCTCTCAGAGGTATGAGGAAATAGGGACATGGCCATTCTGTGATGAGCCTCTGGTTGTATGATTGTGAAGCTTTGGATTTTGCAAAATAGATTTGGAAAGAATCACAGTTTATATATAGTGTAAACAAGATGGACAAAAGTAAGATCTGGAGATGAGTGCTTAGTGAGATGAGCGCATGGAATCCCCCCAGGAGCAGGTTTATGTTTTAACAAATGATTCATTCTGGTCTCAAGAAGTTCAAAGATGAAAAGTCCATCCCAAATACTTATGAATCAAAATGTGAATATTCTCATCTTGGTCAAACTATGGCCAGTTAATGTCTGAACGCTTTTCTCTTTACTGAAGTTTAAATTGTCAGTTGAGCTGGCAATAAAAACTGTCGCAACCTTTAAGTTTCTTTTTCTTTCCCCATTGTGAAACAATTAGAATAAGCTGTCAGTTTCAAAACATTTTTTCAAATGAATTTATTTGAAAAGGTCAACTAGTTCTCCTGCTTTTTCCCACAAGAGGTTTTGGGATATTTTTCTAATGACGAAATATTTATTGAAAAACTTCTGGCTAATTCTGGTAAAAGCCTACATCTTTCTTGAGTTATCGTTCTTATAATATATCCGTGTTCTCCATATGCAGACCCTGTAGATTTCAGCTGATACTTCTGAATGGCCCATGCTCCCATCTATTTCTCATTTTATTCAGTCTTTGCACTGTGCATTTATTGTTATATCCTAGAGTATCATATCCAAATATCTGTTTAATCTATACGTTCTTCTACTTGAGGTTTCTTACTGCTGCTTCATTCATATAACTACACCCAAATGCCTGTAGTTAGTTTCCATTCTTTATTTCACTCCTTTTCCCTTATTTTTTCATGCCTTTATGTTGTGCTCAAATTTATGATCAAATTCAGTCTTGCAAGAAAACTAAAAGTTACCTGTAAAATGATCACATAATTATGCAGTTATAAATCAACTTACTGCTGGATTTACTGCATTAGAAGTCTTCTTTCTGCAGATTGGAAAAAAAAAAGAGTATGGTTACTTAACAGATATGTGGAATTCATTTAGCAACTAAGCATCAGGTTCTTTGATACCTGAGATATTTTTGGCCAACGTAATATGCAGGTCTTTATTGGATAGCTTTTGCAGTAGAAAAAAAAAAGATGAAGGGTATCATGTGGCTTCTCAGTAAAGGTACCTATGGTATGCAAGGAAGCTGTGCTCTATCCAAGGCCTAATAAGGCAACTTGGGTGGGGCAGAAAAGTTTCAAGAAAAAGAAAAAAACCAACTGTCTGCATTTATAAGCGTGCACATGCCATTGCTGCAGTATATGACTAAATTAAGAAAGCCAGCTAGCATCTGCCATCAGTGGCAGGCAGTGAAGGGCAATGGCACTGTCATACAAACAGTATTCTTCTAGAAATAACGAAGGATGGCCTGGCAGCAGTGATCCTGGCTTGCTTTTACCCAGTCAGGATATGAAAAAATACTCCGTTTCATGAAAAGGAGTAGAAATTGCTGGTTGCCACAGGCAAGGATAGGATTCTGCTCCTAATACAGCTAGCAATTAACCCCATCCCCCTCAAAGTAGTAGGTATATTGTTTTTTTTTTTTACTCACATGACCCTAGGTAATGGAGAAGGAGCTGCTCCAGTGGGAAATCTGGATTCCTGAGCGCTATTGAAGCTATGATCTAGAGGTGCATATGATATATTTATTATTCAATATTAGCAGTATCTGAACAGTGGGTTTTCTAAAGGCCCACACTGCAATGGTATAGCCATCTCAGTGTTAAAGTAATAAAAGTACAAAAAGTATCCTTTGGTTTAAGTTCTTTCTTGACATATTTTCATGCTGATTAAACTGGAAAGCAGTTCAGTAGCCTTCCTCATTGCTGACTGATAAGGATAAAATTTACACTGACACACTCCACTGCATGGGATATTAAGGTCACCAATAATACTTACTACTTATTCCCTCTCATATCACCATGTCTTCAGTGCAGAATACTTACTTTCCTCATTATTGTTTGCTTCATGGTCCTATAATGGAAAAAAATATTAGATCTGACAAGGAGCAATTAAAAAATAAATTATTGTCTAATGGGAGGTGCATGAACTGTTCTTGGCACACTGCTTAATGTTTAAAAAGTACTAATATAGAATGGATATAATATTCAGCATCCTTTTCATCAGCTTTCATCAGGGAATTCAAAATATTTTAGCAAACAGAAATTATTTTTGAATGCTATGATAAGCTTGGGATTTCACGTGGCATAGAGAAAAGCGTCCCAGGATTTTGCAGTGGGACCTTTTGGTGCATGTTTAACTTCTGAGCTGGAAAACAGAAATTCTGCAACAGACCCAAAAGTTTGGAGTAGGCTTCCTAGGGTGGCTCTTGTGCCAAACTGCATAACTGCAAGTACCCAGGGGCTGATTATACCCATTGTACAGATGGGAGTTTGCTTGGGAGCCCCATCCTTCGTTCTGTAACTGACTGCGTGGCCATGGCAAAGCGTTCATCTCCCTCGATTCTCTGTCTGCAAAGCTATGATACCTATTTCAGAGGTATGCTGTGAAAGTGAATTAATGAGACGTTTCAGGTGCAATATGGCAACAGAGAGCGTTCTGAAGCCAGAGCATTCTTGTTAGCACTAAGCAGAGTGGAATTTCTGTCCAGCATTCTCCCTTCAGATGGATTTTTTTAACCGTATGTTGGTATGAAAAGCTGAGAAATCAAACCATTTCATAAAAGAGAAGTCCTGGATTTGGCACCACTCAGGAATTGTTCAGCATCTTGCAGGATATAGATCAAATTAATTGGAAGAATGTTGCGATCAAGTACAAGGGAAACTAAAATGCTACTGCTGTTACATTTAGAGGTATGAAAAAAAATCAGAAATATTTGGCATATCTTGAAATTTAAAGATTGAAAGTGAGACTATAAGATGCTCTGAGTAATCTGTATTATGTTGTTATCTTAGCATCCAACTTACTTAGGTATGATCCCAAACTCCTAATTTTAAGAGCCTAATTTCTCCGTGTAGTCATTGCTAGAAATGGGTATTTCTTAAGGACAGTTCAGAGGACGGGACTGGGACAGAGTTCGATGCACATAGCTTTTGGCACTGATGCTGATGCAGTTACTGTTTCCCTGATTCTTGGTAGTTTGCTCCTGATGTGAACTCTGCCTTATGCTGGTACAAATGTTAGTGAAGCTATGGTGCAGAACAGCTTAGGGAACTAATCTGACTGAAAAAGAACCTTTTCTGTATTTGCTTTTGCCCATTTGCTGCTCAGTTAGGTAAGTTTCCAGCTAGTTTGCTTCACGAAACCTTTGTTCTTGCACAACTGAAGGGGACAGACTGGGGACAAGGGTAGAGGTAAAAATGAGATGACGAACACAGTCATAGGAAATCCAAAGCTTATAATTACTGCTTTGTGGACTGCATTTTCAAGTGATACTGATTACTCAGACTACCCAGTCTGAGAAGTCATAGAAAGATTCAGTTTTTCAGAACATATTAATCCTTCATTATCTGAATATGAATGAAGCTCAAAGAAGATGCCTCACATTGGGCAAAATCACACATTGCTACTGAAAATAAGGCTCTTTAAGTTGCCCTGGCTTTTTTTTTTTTAAGTACAAAAGCTTATTTTTGTGGACTTAGACTTATCCCTTAAACCACTTAAAATTTTTCATAGACCAGTGCAGATGTCAAGTACACTTCTTTTGTCCCAAAGATTAAAGAACAATTACAATATTAGATAAATCTGACATTCAGAGTCATCTATTCCTGTTACCTAAGCCAGATAATAAAAAGCATCCTTATATAACACAGATACTGGAAAAGCTTAACAGATTTTTTTATAGCAGCATGTTAGTTACTCACTGCTTTTGGATGAAGACGATTTCTGGGAAGAGGCACAATATTTCTGGAAAATAAACGAAATAGGTTAAACAGTTTTTTTTTTTTAATTGCTTGATTCAGACACGTATTTCAGGATCTAGAGAGGGTGAGGTCTGCAGTAAATGGATGTAGTCACAGCTAGATACACTTGTGATGACTCTTTGCCTCTAGTGTGGAACTCTTGTAGAAGAGCTTCTATCCTGGACCTTTGTCGCCCATGATTGTGCACAGGACCTCCCCGAACACTGTAACAGATATCATGTTATGGATGCCACCTGCTCTTCCTGGGGTAGGTGGCCTGTTTTGCACAGTGATGTCCCAGAGATTTGCAGTGTCTTGGTTACCTACCAGCTGCACTTCTGGAGTGACATAGGCTGCATACTCGAGTTTTCTTTGCCTCTTTTCCTCCAGAGAGTCAGAATATAAAATTGTTGATTGACCACCTGTGTTCAGCTTCTTTACCAGCCCTCCTGTGCCCCATCACCTGCAAGGGGGCAGGGGATGTTTGCAAGGGTGCAGAGACTGACAATAGGACTTGAGACTGGCTTGCAGAGATGTTTTACTCCTGCACTGCATCCCTGAAGGTATATTCAGGAAAACAGTACGTATTTGGCAAACTGGCTTAAGTACAGAAGTTGACAAGGAAGCTGAAACTATTGTTTTTAACTTGCCCCAACATCCCTAGCTTGTTCTGTGTGTGTGTCCTGACAATCGCTCATTGCCTGAAGGGCACACAATAGAGAGGAGAAGAGTTTTGTCTACATTAGTAGGTTATTGACATAAGCTGCTTTTGCTTTACCTGGAAGTATCCAGCTTAGGTGATGTGCTGTGCATGTGGGAGTGCTCTGTATTCTGAGCAAGCGTAGAAGGAAGTGGCATAGTGAAGCTAGTACAAAACCATGAATTTAGAAAGGAAAATTTTATTTAAAAATAATGAATAAAAAAAGCAACCTTTCTTTCTCCTCTCCATCCCCTCAAAATCCTAAAAAAAAATACCCATAAGAGAGATTTCTTTTTAATATATATTACTCTGGTATTATTAAAATTAACAGAGGAATGAATTGCATTATTTTTGTGAAGATATTCTGAAGACAGATAAGTATATAGGTGTCTAAATAAGAAAATATATTTTCTGACAAGTTTCAAACGATGCACAAACATTCATAGCAATGGATTACCTGGTTACTGGTGGTGGTGATGATTTTTCCTTTAAGAGAGAATGCACTGAATTATTTGGTTATCTTTAGATTTCATAAAATATAGCAGCATGATCACATTTATGTTATAGCAATAACTCAGATTTACTAGTGCTGACTTTCTGCCTATCCCATCTTGATGCGGATTACGAGGCAGAGTTCTGGAAGTCTGTACCTCAACAGAAAAACGTGAAGCCTTAAGTACACCGCTAGGCCCTACGTTATGTCAGTACTGGCAAACGGGAAGAGAAGGACTGTGTCAGAAGTGTCATCGTTCCTTTTGCTGTGCTTGTGCTTCTAGAAAGCGTTGCCTTGGGCTGCTGCTTCCCAGACTGGCCACTGTCACACAGGACTGGCAAGTGTCAAGATTTCCCCATTTATTCTGTTCTGCCATAAAGTTCTAGGTGCAGAGAGAGATTTATTCCGATTTTTCCCCTTTGAAGGGCTGGTAATATCTCTCTCTGTTATTTTATTTTTTTAAACAGTCACATTTATGTTTTTCCTCATGGACAGAGGGCAACATGAGTCATAAAAGACATAACAGCCTTACCTCCTCTTCAGGAACCTCATAGATTTCTATAGGAGAGGAAAAACATGGATTTTTAGTTAACAAAAATGCACCACAGGTTTCGTTAGCAAAAAAACTGGTTAGATTTTATATCAATTGTACTTTTACTTCTGGAAAAATAATTTGGAGAAGTCACTCAAAGTTTGATTCTGCTTCCTTTATTAAACTGAGCTCATCCTAAACCCTAAGGCAGCCACACCCGTATTCTGTTAATGGGAGCTTTAGAGACAGTCCCAGGAAGTCTGCATAAACAGGCCCTGTATCAATGAAACTTTCCTTCCTGTCCCCCTTTTTTTTTTTTTTTTTTGCAAAACACAGTGGAGTGCTTGTGGGAGCAGTTAGCCTTTCCTTGACACTCAGGAAGGTAGAGATTAGGTGAATCATAAACCCAGACTGACACATTTGTGTTGCCCGTGTCCATCCCTAAGCTCTGTCTCACAGATGTATTTTAATTCACAGATACTAAAAGCCTAAAATCACTAGCATCCTTATTTATGTCTAGTTTCTTCAATGAAACTTGAACTACATTTCAATAAGTTTAACGTCAGGATTTGTTGCTTTTGTTGTGCTGAAAAGTGTTCAGGTACCCACTAGGGGGAGTTGTTTTATTTTTTTTTTATTTTTTTTATTTTTTAGCAACGAATCTGTCAAGAGATGGTTGTTGGCCAAAAACTGATTTACAGAAAGGCCAAGATTGAAAGGACATTAGAAATGTCTGAGATGTATGTGACAAAACATGAGAAAAAAATTCATAGTTTGTGGCTCGAAAGTTGAACACATTACTAATGAATCTGCACACCCTTTAAAGAACTGCATTAACAGTTTGTAAAGGTTACTTTCCAAGAAATTAATGTCACGATGAGGAAACGAGACAGCTCAGAGCTAGCACAGCTAAAAAAGATTAAGCAATGTTATCTGCACTTTCAAAAGCAAATGTGATCCCTCTCTTTTATTTGCTTCTGCTTTATTTCTTTTTCTAAGTAACTGCTTTTTACACAACTGGAACACTGTATCACAGGGTGTGCAAAACATCAGTTTATACAGAATTTCATAAAGATTGAATCTTGATGTGATTTTAAAATACTGAGTCTTTGTTCCTATAGTGTAATGAGATTATTAACATACTGAGTCCTGAAACTATTTTAGTTGTATTGATCCACCTGAGTTCTTCTACTAAAGCAGAAGACTAAAAATAGGTCGTTTGGAGTAAATGGCTTGTTCCAGTTTTATTCATTCTTAAAACCAATTTACTAGTAAAGCCAGGCAAAAAACTTGCTACAAAACAGAAATACCTGAGGGGAGCATACTTTTATTTTATGGGAGTATGTCATAAGGTTTATATTCCGAATACATCAAGTGTAATTTAATACTATTCACTGTTAGATTATGTTATTTTAACAGTGATACAAAATCCACATACCTTGTGTGTCAGAAGTAAGAGAAGGCTTTGCAGAAGTAGGGAAGGCTGACTTTGTCGTTGGTTTCATAAATCTGTTCACAGGAGCTAAAAACATACATATAGATAGATATAGATTTAGATATGTGTGCGCGTATATCCATCCATCTCTATGTACATATGTGTGTATTTTTTAAAAAGTAACATTGTGCAATAAGAATAAATATTAAAAGGGTCCTAGTGATAGCCTGCTATCCTCGTGTGACCTTGAAAAAGTCAACCGAGGCAGAAAGAAACTCTCATTTTAAAAGGGAAACATTATTCACAATGTTCATGTCTCGCTGAGTAGGTCTGATATTGTCAGTAAAGGTAGAGAGCAGAACTGCATACTCTTCCCTATTTACTTTTCACCATAGGACTGTAATTTCACTCTCCAGCTAAATTTACTTCAGATAGTGAGGTAAAAATATTAATCACAGTCTTTATTTACTGAAAGCCTAAAAAGGCTCAGAAAACAGAATTTTAATGCTGTGGCTCTCTTGGATGAGGAGAGAGATTCTCATACCATGAGAAGCTTCCTGAATATACCAGGGCTAGACTTTGAAATAGCTGAATCAGAGCAGTAGGAGTTAAACGTGGCTTCTGACGAAAGTAAAGATAATTTGCTTTGGCCTTGTCATGGCCAAAGGAGACAACTGCCTCTTGTCAGCTTGTATGCTCTTTAACAGCTGCATCTCTTCTCTTTGAACCCCAGAAATAGACATTAATTCAGTCCATTTTTTCACTGTTGTTCCTAACAAGGTAATAAACAGTTATCAGCTTAAATGACTAATACTCACGTCTTGTAGGTACCGACGAGCTGCTTTCTGTGGGTTCGATATAGTTATCGTCGTCATTGTCCACTGGCACGATGTAATTGTCCTACGAGAAACACAGGACAAAAATCTACTGATTAAATCTGCATCACTTCAAAGAACTGTTGGGAATGAAGTCCTGGCAGCAGCTCACCGTAGTTGCCATTTCACAGTGACTGCTATTTCAGACATTTATCATTCTATATGGATGGGATTCCCCGAGACTGAACACCCTTCACTAAATAACTCGAATTATAGCCTGGTGGATAAAAGCCCTCCCTTCCCTTTGGTCCTAGTGTAACGTTCAAATTTACTCTCCCCCTATTGCCTGCAGTTTGTTATGGATGAGCAGAAACTATTCTGTGGTCTAAATGGCTTCCACGGATACTTGAAGTAAGCAGATATCCACTAGGAAGCAGCCTGGTACTCACAGGTCATTGCTGTGATGGACAGAATGATTTGAACTGTAGATGGCTGATTGAGGCTGGTATGGAGACGAGCATGTGGAACTGCTGTGTGGTCTACTTCATGATTGCTCTAGGGCCATCATTCATTTAAACCACCAAAACAAGTGTATCTATGAACATTACCTCATCATCACTGCACTCCTTAGGCTTTGGTGGTATTTTTGGCTTTGGAGCAGTAGATGGCAGTGGCAGAGATGGCTTGGATGGTTTCTTTGGTCTGGACAAGGCTGAACTGGGCATGGTTGGGAGAGGTTTGCTGATGGGAGGAGGCTGCTGGTGACTAGTCCGATTGTCTTTTAATGAGAAAAAAAAAAAAAAGAAAAGAAAAGAAACAAAACCGTTTTGGTAAAATTTACTAGGCTCTGGACACTCTTCTACCTATGCAAACAAATCTCTCCACTGTCGCTGCAACTTAGGTTAAAAGGCAGACCTGAGGGACTGCAGGTCCTAATTTTGAGATATGTCTGCAAACTAGTCCTTTTCTCACTCAAGGTAGCAGCCTAGTCCTCTCTATCAGACCACAGAGGCTGCCTAGACACTTGACTTATGCAAATAACTGTTTCTTAACTCCTCTGGAAAAAGATAGTGGCCAGACGGTATGATCCATTAATCAGGGTGCTCTGTGCCAGAGTAATCTTTGGTGATGGGAAGTGAAAAAGAACATATCTGTCATGTGGAAAAATAACTGTTATAGCATAAAGGGTGGGACTGAAACACAAATTATGGCAAGTGTCATTTTAAAAACTTCTCACCTATTCAAAGAACAGGTAGGTAACGTGCTTATAAACTTCTGCGAGTACGTGTGTGGCACTGTAGCACTTCAGCAGCTATTTTACAGTCAATAACGGTCTTATATAAAAATATCTGGCATTACGCTGCTCTTTCTTTTCTCAAAGGCCCAAATCTTCATCTAACTGAAGCTAACTTTCATTCACTCCAATGTGACCTGCTCATAGCCAAAAAGAATCAACACAGGAAGAAAGAAGGCCTTTCTGTTGGACTGATGGAAGTAAAATCTTTCTCCTGTCCCGTTTTTCAGTATATTTATCCTACTCACTACCAATTTGGAAGGACAGCATGGATGCTTGGGCTGCTTTGGCCTCTGCTTTGGTGTTTTTGGAATAACAATATGAGCTACAGATGATAAAGAAGGGACCCCTCAGAGTCCAGTCTTATGTGCTTAACCTTCAGTATGAATCCTTCATTAAAATACGGGGATGAGTTTGGGGCCAGGTCAGTGGTATTTCCCCATACCTTTGCTTGAATTTTATAGTTAGTGGATGACTATCATAAAGTCTGTAGGCCTTACAATTACGTTGAAACTCTAAGCATTGCTGGCAGCAATACTAACCTGTTTCACGCTATAATAACAAATTGTACCCCAGAAGGTTGAATATATGATTGTCAGAATTAAAAGCAAACTCTTGAGGAAGGGACAGGTTAGTCCACTTGAGGCCATTTCTCTTTTGGTGCTGTTAATAAGCAGTTATCAGACTGATGTAACCAACTATTCCACATCTACCTGCGTATTCACCCCTAGAGATAGGGAATGCTGAGGGAATCTTCTTTTTCTCCTGCTCACTTGGAGGCGGTTCATAGCTGTCGTCAGCGTTCTCTTCACTGGGGACCACGTACATCTCAGAGTCAGAGTGGTCATCTGGATTTTCATAATCACTGTCCTAGGAAGACAGAACTTCCCATTTTTCACTTCATAACACACTTACAGCTTTATAGCAGGGTATGACATTCGAATATCCTTGCAGGATTACAATTAACAAAATTACAAAAATGCGTTGAGAAGAGCACATAATGCTCCTCTTTAGTCCTCCCTCTCCAAACAAATAGAAACTCCACCCATCTCCCCTTCCCTTCTGTTCCAGGTCCCTTCCTCGTCCCCTTCTCCGTGGCACCTCCAAGAAGTCTTTGTCATACTAAGAGCTCAATCTTTAAATTACGGACCAACAGCTTGTTTTTCATCACAGGACAGATCCTTCCTAGCTCCTGCCGCAACTCTTGATGTGTCCTGCCACTTCTTCTTCCTTTGCTATTAAAGAGAGCTCAAGAGCTAACACCTGAAGGAAACAGGTCACTTCAGGGTGATAGGCTGTACAGTATGGTAATTAATTAACTGTGGAAGGCAGTTGGTCATGGCTTGCTTCATACAATTTCAGTGGTATAAGTTCAACCACAAGTAGGTGATTCAAAAGTAAACATTCATTATTATTGTTTGTGCTGAACTTGTTGCTACAGTAACTTCCTACTACCTCCCCAAAAAATATACTTACAAAATCATCTGACCATTGTTCCTCTTCATTGTCTGCATGTTCTAAACCAAACATTAGAGTTATTTAAGGAGATGAAATAGCATAAATGTGTATCTTAAGCATAGACTGAAAAAATCTAACATACTCAGTTAAAAAATGAAAAGAGTGAAATTTTCTTGAACAGTTAGGAGACAAACATTTTTTTGGTTTTGACTGAATAGTAAAATCTCCTTCTGCTTATTTGTTTTTGATAAATTGTTACAGAGCTGTTGTAAGAGTAGTATAAAATGGTAAATTTTATCTGGCCTAAACAGTAAGAGCGTGCAGTATACCCAGGGTGTCTTACTAATGCATCTCATTTTTTAAATAGAGTAACAATTTCTAAGTAACGAAACTAGTTCTGGCCTTCCGGCCATTCAGTTTCTTTCTTCTCTGTTCAACTTCCAGGGTAGAAGGCTAACGAAGGTGGTGACATTAACCACTGAATAACTAGCTAATAACTTCCAAAAAAACACCCTCTTCTGCTTCAGCATTTCATATTGTTTCCTTAACAAAACAACTGTTAACATGTAAAGATGGGCATAAACAAATTTGTAAATATTAATTCTGAAGGAGCAGTTGCTTGCTACTGTTTGTTCATGGTGGGACAACTTGCCATGGTTTTCTTGCTTCACATTTTGTAAGTGAGCGTTATCTTCAGAATTGTTGGTAACAGTATACTTATCAACAGGAAATTATAAGGAAATGCATAGCTGAGCTACTCTTAACACATACAGGCATCAAATATACACAGATTTAAATTTCTATTAATCCAGTCTTACCTGAAGCATAATCCCTTTGTGGTACACTTGGTGGTGCTTTTTTTTTTAGCCTGTAAAAAATAATTATTAAATATATGATCTAATATGTAATAGCAGCTAGAAGGAAGCATTAGCCACATAAAACGCTGATGACAAGACGTCTGCAGCTGAAGAAATACAGATTATTTTGCAGATGCTTAGCAAATAGCTGTGAGAGAATGCTTTGAAAAGCTGGAAACACATGGGAAATTAGAATCTAGTCTGAGATTTTTTTGCTAAGAACATATTTTGAAAGAACAACTTCCTTGCCCATCCTCCTCTTCACTTTCAGAGTAGCATCTGATGATATAGGTGTCAAAGATAAATACACATCTATCTGAAGAAGAAAATCTATTCGGGTTTACAGAGGCTTTTCTAAGTCTGTAGCAAGAGAAAAGGGTGCAGCACTCGTTCTGTTTTATAACTATCATTTGTATGCACTTTATTTTCTGGTTAATGTTTAAATGTATAACACATCTTTCAAGGCCAGATTCTATTTCCACTGACTATTATTTTATGGTGTTATACCCTTTTTTTGGTAAGTACTATTCCAACAGCATTTTTAGTACTGACTGAATCAAAAAATTACCTGTAGAAATACTGAAAGGATCTTTGTAGCTTTCTCTTCAATTGCAGCTTCCTGTGCTATATCTAGACTGTGAATATATATATATATATATATTCTTGCTTTCTTAATTTGCAACTGTCCAGAGAACATACTGAATTACATAGTCAGTTGATATATTATTTCATTAATGTTCTAACATTACCTTGTAAAAAAAAAAGATGTGAATTTGTGTTTAAAGTCAAACCAAATGGTGCATGTGTGACATTATATGCCAGACTGATGTATCTGAAGACAAGAAAACTTTGTTTGATGTAGCAGTGTAAAACATGAATACAATTTTCATAAAATGACTCTTTAAAGTGAGTTTTAAACACCATCTGACAGCTCCCCTGCAGCACTGGTGAGACCTCACCATGGATTTGAACCGTTGCCCACTGAATTGATGGCTTCAATCATTCTTCAACCATGGAATTTCTTGATGGTATTCATTTGCAAAAAACGAGCAGAATATTTACAAAGAATATTGTTCATAGAGAATTTAAATTTTTTTTTTTGGTGATTCTCTGAGCAATAGTGATGTCTATAAATTTTACTTTACAGCAAGAATTTGACAGTTAAGTCTTGAGCATACTGCTTAGCTGTTTGTTCAGGTAACAATGTAACTCAGAGTGGTGGCACTCTGGCACTAACACATCAACGTAAGAAATTTTCAAGCCTGTTTTGAGAAATGCTTCGGCTACTACTGAGTTAAATTCATAGAATTCGGTCACTCAGGTATTCACAAAAAATAAACGTGCATGAATGAGTGACTAGTAAAGGCACTGCTAAAGCTCCAAAAAAAAAAAACCAGGTGTATCATATAAAAATATTTATCCAGCTTTGTTTATTACTAGCAACACTAATGAAGGATAGCTGCATCTTTCTAGTCTTTAGCTTCCTGCAGCATGAATATAACTTAGTGTACAAACAGTAAATTAATAAGCATTCTTAACAGCACTGCTATGTTCTGCCCAGGTTAGCATAGGCATGTTAGAAAGAAAAACCCAGGGCCACTGCCAGGACAGATAGCAGCCTTAGACGTTAGGTCTAGAGAGAGAAGACCAAAATCCATTCAGGTACTTTGCAACATGTCTGTCCTGAGATGTTCAGAGACAGCAGAGACTCAGAAAACAGTGGGCTGAGGCAAGAGTGAGAGGCCCTCTGGGTCTCAGGGCAAAACACGTGGCCTAGGCCACATTATGCATTTCCTAAGCACTAAGCAGAAGATTTCAACACTTGATCCCAGGCCCTGTAAATCCTGGCAGTAGCCCTGACAGAAAGTGTAAATATGTTACAACAAAAGCACAAAAAGCACAGAACAGAGCTCTGTGTCTAAGCAACCTATCATGCCATTGTGCAGCTCTGAAGTAGCATACCGATCCCAAGTATCTTTCCCAGTTTTGCAAATTAAGGCCACTTGTTCATTTTGGAACCTGAATATCAATAGAAGAAAAGAAATCATGTTTCCATCACAGAGCTGAAACCGTTCATGGCCACATCTCTATATGTTAAAATCTCTTCAGTTATTTATTCTAAAATTTAAATCCACCTAAAAAAAATTCACTGTACTGGCATGGTTTATTGAGTGCCAGAACTGACATTAAAGCTCTCTTGAAGTCAGTTGGAGCTTTGCTTTTCACTTTGCTGGAGCCAGAATCTTACCCACTGTGCAAACTGCAGTGCAAGCTCAAAAGACCTGATCCCTATGCCAAGGAGCAGTTATCTAGCTATTTCAGATATTGGTGTAGTTACACACATAGATGCTTACAGAGTGACAATTGACTCAATCCTGTTCCCCTGAAGTTAATGACAGAGACCTGGAAAAATCAAATCCCATCCAAATGAGGATACATATTTAAGTGGAAGACAGAATGGTTTCCTAAATTATCTTATCACTGAGGTGTATAAAATTATAGCAAATGCAATTTGATACTTATTATATTCCAGTAATACTCAGTTCTGGACTTAAGTTAAAGGTGTTTTAGCTCTAATGGGAAAAAAAAAAACCCCAAATAATTCAAGTTTCCGTTGACTTTAATACGACAGTCATTTTTCTAAAATTTAATAGAAAATAAGTATTTTCTGGAGATTTTCAAATATCCCAGAAAAATTTCAGTTCTAAAGGACTCATCCATAAAATCAAAATATGCTTTTGAGCATATATTTACAGTTGTTTTTTTTGTTTTTTTTTTTTTTAAAGAAGCAATATGACACATCTTACTACATCATTAGCTTTGACAAATAACCAGTTAACAGTTGAGGCATTTCACGTAAAGGGGCCTCATGCTGTTCACACAAGAACACAATGCAACACAAGAACACAACGCACCATACAGAAACTCGAAATAACCTTTTGCAGAATTAAGTATATCATTAAATACATACATACATACATATATATATATATATATATATTCTGAAATTTCTATTCTATAGCATGCTGCAGTTGATGCAACAAAGCATTTAGGCATGGTCAGCTAACAATTCCTATAGGAATTACAAATAGGCTTAAAGTTAATATCACATATATGTTTTCCCAAACTATATGGGGAAGTTGTAATGAACTGCAGCAGAGGTATAAGTTTTCTGTTCTAGCAACACTTGTTTTTACAAACTGCACCCAGAAAGGCAATCACACTTCCGTAGCAGCGAGCCTTTGTGTGTAGTTCTTAATTCTTCTCAGATGCATTTCCTCACCAGTGTTTTTGTTCCCTCCCTCAGCTTTTAAGATGTGGCTAAAATCTATCTATTTTCAAGAGTTCTTTACTTTTCCTGTTGTTAGCTATTTGTATAGGGCCCATCCTCTTCTTAGAGAACGTTTTTACTTAATAGAATTTACAAAAATTATGTTGACATCCTTACTGAGTTGAGTATTTATAGTACATTATTACTCCTAAGTGCACTAGATCATCACACTTGTGATTAAAAGAAGAAATAATTGAACTTTGTCCAAAAGCTTTTCAGAATTCCAAACATGTGCAATTTAGCTGGCAGATAAACTTTCTCTGAGCTGTGTTCTCATGACTCAGTGGAATAGTTTGTTATAGCTTTGGAATTGCACAAAATTGGGGATTTTTTTTGAAAATTTGGTGATTGTACAAAATAAATTTTCAATTGTTTTTAATCTTCTTGCTACTCTTTTACACATTTTCTTTACAACTCACTGTAGCACTGAAATGGCATACAGTTGGTTTTTGTTTTTTTGTTTTATTTTAATGAAATACTGTCCTGCTAACAAAAATCTTCAGGCTGTACTAGAAAGGCACTCAAACCATACTATTCTGCTACATGTGGAAATTCATGTTTCTTCAGAATACAGTTAAAAATTATTTATTATACTATCTCCTGATTTCTTTGCCTAAGTGTGCTACAGCTCGATTTTAGTACTTTCTTCTCAGTATTTAGCGCATAAGATACCACTTTTCCCTCTGCCAAGGCTTTGATCACAGATATCTTCTAGTTGCAGCTATGCAGGTTGAAGAGACGTTTGGTGACGCAACCGTGTTCTGCTGCCTCAGATTGCTCCCCTTGCGGTGTGCCAGCACAGTGGGACTGTGTGAGCACTCCCAGCCCATTTCAGTCAAAGTGACCTGGGATGGCAATGCTCTGCTATTTAAATTGTCTAGGCTAGCCACATTACATGAGCAAGTCAGCCAGCAGACTGAAGTGGGAGCAGGTTGCAAGAATTTGGGAAATGATGGGGGAGTATACCTCCTTAGGATGGCACAGCTATGGGTGGAAGACAATGTCTGGTCAAGTTAGTAGTAGTATAAAAAAAATGGACTAGACAAATCTGAAGACTTTGTTAGGAAAAGCAGATGAGATGAAGATGCATCTTCTTTCCATTCTTCAGGTCATGTGGCAAACGTGATTCAAGAAATGGACACGTTTGGATTGTGCACAGTTGAATAACTGCACGCACATAGTTTCAGCTGTTTCTGATGGCTTTGCAAACAAAGTTTCAATAGGATGTGATAATGCAATAAGGTGAGTAATATGAACTCCTACTTTCTTATTCAGCACGTACCAAACGCGAAATCCATACTTTGCTTTATACGCAATATAAATTTTAGCATTGACTTCAGTAGAGCTATGAGTCCTCTGAAAACAACAAAGCCTCAAAGGCTTAAAGCTTGCGATCTACAGATCAGTGCTACATCTTTACAATAGGTTTCAAACACAGGCCACCGTTCTGCAGAGTGAAACCCGTAATTTCTCTTTCCAATTTCCCTGTTTTGTATTACCAAGGATGTGGCTATGGACCACCTCCCCCAACCCATCCATCTGATTGTTTATACAACTTTGGCTGTACCTATCACTTCTTTTACACCTGACTGCATAATCCTCTTTGAAATCATGATCTTCATAGCAACTGGGATGCAGGTATTGTAAACAATTATGCATGTGATTCAGGGCAAGCAGGTGAACAGTAGCCTGCGTAGGCAATAGTTTTACAATCAGTGAATTTTGAGTTAGGTTTTAAGAACCTTTTAAGCAATGAAGAAACTAGCTATAAATTTCTTTCCTGTTACTACCACTATTCAGACCGTTTCCACAGAACTTTAAAAGCTACGTGTTTGCTAAGCATGCGTACAAACCCCCAAAGATGAACTAGCTTGGAGAGTGAGACATTTGATGCAGAAACATTTCTTACTGTTCTGCCTGGTTAAGAGCCAAAGCAGGTTTTAGAAATGTCTTAACAAATACTGGTAATAAATTGAATGCATTTCATGAGTACTTGATCATTTTTTCAATTTCAGGCTTACAGTATACATGTTGTTTGTGACAAATGAAGGCTTGGAATAAGCAGGTAAATTGTTGGACTTCTGTAAGATTATTTCTACTTAGAATAGGCTTGAATTTGAGCCAAAATTACTACATTTTTCCAGTGTATAGACAAATTCCAAAACTGTGCTACAGAAAGCCAAGTTTTTATACAATTTTTCCTGTTTCCATCATGTTTATGTCTTAGATATTCCATAAAATAATCATATATGAGCGATCAACTGGATGACTATATTTTTTTTTTTAAAAAAGAAAAAGCATTACTAACCTCCGCCCCCTCAAAAAAGGGCAAATTCAGTGGAATACAGCCAGTTCTAATTCTGCAAAGCTTAGTATCTATTGTATATATCCTTCTCAAGGTTGTCAACTGCTGATTTTATTGCAAGACTCATACTATGTTGGGGGGCTAAAGAATACTATGTTAGGGGCTAAAGACTGAGTTTTTTTTTTTTTCTTTCAATCTCGCAATTTGTCTCTGGTTTCATAGCTGGGGGAAGTAGAACGTGAGCTTTGTGCTGCAGTCGCACATTAAGAGAGTTTTTATAAGCCTATTCTTTTTGTGGATTTTTTTTTTTTTTTTAAATCTTGGGCGAATCAAACTGCAGCTATCTCGCATCTGACGTTTAACGACAGCATTATCATTATCCTCTGACCTTCCCAGCTTTAGCTACCTTTAGTTCCTGTTATTCTTCCCTTTTATGTGTCCTTCCCTTTACTCTCAGGGAAGGACACAGTCAGAGCAATCCTGATTAACAGCAAACCTCATGTCCAGGCAACCCTGGAAGACAATTTGTTGCCTCAAGTTATGAGCTTGAAAGGCCTCTGTTTCTGTCATCTGATTTCCTCTCTGAGGCATTTGCATTGGACCCATTGAAACATTATTAACTAACTATACTTAAATTACTCTGAAGTGGAAAGCCAAAACAGAAAAACAAAAACCAAAAAAACCCCCAAACACACACAAACCCCCCTGCCACCCCCCCACCTGCCCCCAAACCCCTTCCACCAAAAACCTCGATTCTAGAAGCTGTTTCGTGTGAGCAGATCCCAAGTGAAACTAAGGTTTTTGCAGGTAGAGATCAGATCTGTCTGAACAGAGCGGTCTATATGCATACATACGGTATTGAAACCAAAAGTGTGCTTAAATTATATTAAAGATCTAAATAGTTGAAATATGGTCAGTTTAAGGGAAATGTTGCTTTTAAGCTTGTGTGGAAATAACAAACATATATAACACTGATTTACTGTAAATTGCAAATTGCCTACTCAAGTGTTATGGACAGAAACAGAGCTGTGATAAGGACGCCACAAAGGAGCTCTTGCCCTGCCTGGGGAACGGTAGAGACGGAGCGGTAGCTGCTGCTTCGGGAAGCGTTTGGCCCCTCTGCCAGCAACAGCAGCTGCCCCACAGGCACCGACCCCGTCGGGCTGGCCGCGGGGCAACGAGCTGTGGCCTGCCGGGGTTTCCAGAGCTCTTGCATAGCCAGACTAGGGGGTGCCTTACTCTGTTCCCACCGATCTCCTGACTGCTTTGTAGATACCTAGCGTTGGCTCTTGTTAAAATCCTGCTTTTCTTTCTTGAAGTGGTCACACTTGTTTAAAAACAGTTTAAAAAAAATGTTTACATACATCTTTTATGTATGAGAGCTGTATCTGTAGAGTTTTTAATATCCTCATCCTGGAAACATGGTAGATGCTGTCTACTAATCAACTTTTAAAAGTACTTAGTACTTTAGTAGTCAGTGACCCATACCTAAAGAAGGACATCTGAATGAGGGAATCACATCCAAATGCAAATTCAATGCAAATGAGCTATTTCATTAAAACAAAGAAAGAAAAAAAAGCAGCACACTAAATGGCTAATTGCTTTAAATAGGCCTTTGACCAGAAACAGTGAATGATGTATTCATTTGGCAAGGATGTAGGGTTACTGGAGTTTCACTCCATGTATAAATATACATTATGAGTATTTTGTGGTACTCGTATGCATGCAACATCAGTGTTTATGCTGTTTTGCACTTCTTACTGGAATGAGAATTTTAGGCTATCCTGGGTTTTGTTTTACGGGACTGCAACACAGGACGATTTAGCATGTTTATAGGAGTTCTGACTATGATGTCTGACCAGTTGGTTCAAGGTGGAGTTCAAATTAAAATTTAATTGCAGCAAGTAGCCTAAACAGCAGCTTGAGGAAAAAGGCACACATTCAAACAGCAGGCAATGATCATTGCCAAAGAATATGTAAGAATGCATTTCACCTAAACTGTTTTTCAGTGCTCTAACACAACTTCCCTTTGCAGCTCAATTCTGCAGCTATTTTGTGAGACGCATTATTATTGATGACAGTTTGGCATGATGCAATCTGGACTGAAGCTCTTAATATACATTGAAGGACATCCCTCTAGAATGACATGGTTCCATCTTTAATGTGCTATACATTATGTTAGTCATCTAAACTTTAAAAAAAATAGGATTAATATTTCAAACTTACTTTTTGAACTTGTTTATTATCCCAGTTTCATTTTTCTTGATGTCATGCACCATCTTTTGAAGCTTCCTGTAAGATATTAAACAAAGTAGGATTAAAATTACCATGTGATTGAACACCTATTTATATAAATTAAGAAAAATATAGGGAGTGTATATAGTTGTTTTACTTACCTAGTAAACACAAAACACATTTTTAAAGTAGTTTAGTTGCTAAAATCATTTGTGTATGAAGTTTCCCTCCCTTTTTAACAGAGCTCTTTGGTATAATTTGTTTTATCCTTCTCTGTACTACAACTCAGTTTAAACAATTGGGCTAAGTTCCAGTGCATCAGGAAGGAACTTCATTGCCTAAATTAATAGTTTAGAATATTTTAATGTTAACATTTTCTTCAGAACTGACTTTATGATATCTCACAGCTAGAATGGGAATGCTATCTGATTTCTGACTTTACGTGAGTCATTTCATCAGTGGACAGTTTACCTCATTCCCATAGTGTTTGTAGTTATAATGGGGTGGGGTGGGGGCAGGGGGAGAGAGGGAATAATACATTCCTGTCCTGCTGTGCCCAGGCCATCAGAGAAACCAGTAGAGGATCTGTGACTCTGAGCTGTAAAAACTCATCGTGTCGAGACTCCAGTTAGATGGACGGCTAGCTGGAACCAACGCTTGTTCTTACTCTTCAGCTAGTTCCCCGGACCTCATTAAAAATATACTTGTCATCAAGGCAATTTAAGTTGAATAACTCATTCTTTAGTCAGGAAGCATCATTTTAGAATCCCACCTCCCTTCACATTTGAAAAACCCCACTAAAATCAAATCAACTTCAGGAAAACAGATATAACATTGCAAAAATACTGCTTTATAACAAAAACTCTTAGAAGGTTGATCTTAATAGAAATTCCAATAGAACGCATATAATTTTTTAGTTTCTTCCCGCAGTTTATATTCTTTCTGTACACCTAAATGAAGCATCCCTGTATTAGACTTGAGCTGAAGATTTTATCTAAATCAATAAAAAGAGGAAATGATTTTTCAAAACAGGCTTTAAAAAATTCTGCCTTGCATTTGTCATTATAAATTGCCCACGTCATTTCATGTTTTAGTCCTGCCTATCCTACTGCTGAAGCAAGATCAGACTACCAAAAGGCTTTCCAAATCTTTGCTTATAAAGAGCAGTACAAAAAATCAACGTATTCTTTTCCTTTTTAAAGCTTTCTTTAAACTTGCTACCTTAATTTGCAGAAGGCTGAGTAACATGCAGAGCTTTGCTAAAAAGAAACATATCTTCCAGCTTCGTCATTAGTAACCGTGGTTCTCACTTAAACGTTCAAATAACTTTTTCAAAGGAAATTGGAATTAGATGAGAATCAAATAAGTAAAATTGGGAAATAACTGCACTAACATTTTGTATCTATTTGTCTGTGATCCATGGATCAGATCGAGCAGACAGGTAGCCACTCTAGGCATCAGATAGTGGTAGAATATTGGGCTTATGCTGAGAGGGATCTTCCTATCTCCTACCTTCCGGTGGGATCTAGTGTAATCCTTTTTTTAATGAGACGTGCTTAAAAAAAAAACCAATTAGATAGCTGAGTAATGGTAAGTTTTTGGAATCCTGAAATAAAGAACAAAGCTTATTTTTCATCTTAACACTGTTTATTAACAGAACAATCTGATCTTTTCATTGCGTCAGCCAGAATTGAAGGGTATTTCTCACTTTCAGCAGCCCTGTCACAGAACAATCCTGCTCTGTCAAAATAGGTCATGGGTCTGATACATAAGGACTATTCCTAGAGCCTAAATTGTTGCCCAGCTTTCCTTAGAAGCCTGTCTTTTTCGGTTCTCCACTAAGCAAAGAACTCATGAGACTAACCCTCTGACAAATAATTCACAAGCACATCTTTAACTTTTGCTCAAACCTCATACTGTTAATTTACAGCAAAATGGTATACTGTAAACTGCTGATAATAAAAAAGATTTACTTACAGATGTGAGAAATGGATGAACAAAAATGCTTAGGGATTTGCTGCAACAATGCACTACATCTATGAGAAAAGTTTTGTTATCTAAACTAGCCAGATCCATTAAATCTGCAAATCTGGGATCAAGATCAATCTCAAAAGAACTTCTGCTTTTGTGAATTTTTCTAAAACTACATTCAGTTTCTGGTTATGCTTGAAAGATCATAAATAGCCATCTTTTGCAGTTTCTGTTTTGTGCCCCAGCTGGCACCTGGCAGTGCTTATAAACTAAAAGTAATGAGGAATCAAAAGAATCAAAAGGGAATTAAATGGTTTAGTTCTAGTTTGGGGAGAATGGTTGCTTGTAAGCATTTGTCCTTTTCAAAAAGGCTTGCCAGCCTTTAATTAAAAATTGCATGTGAGCATTAATTATTTTTGTTCCAGTATCGATTTATTGTTAGAGACGGGGCCCAAACCTAAATCTGACTTTGGATTTAGATCTGAATGCTGCACATGGCCCATCTCTGGCATTCATATATCTTTAAAATAGTATAGCTTTATTGTGAAAAAAGTTGTTTCATTTTTCACATGGCTGATTTTATTTTGGATTGCCATTTTGGCTTGGGGGTGGGGGAGCTTATAACTGCAAGTTCCCAGAACAGGTTGCTTTTCATCTGATCATATTTAGCTGAATTGATTAGACTGTCACGGTGATGCTCCATGTGCATTGAATAAAACTATAATTTAAAACAGCATTTTAATTCAAATTTCTATTAAAAATAAATGGATGCATTAAATTTAGAGATAATTGCATGTGCTGCTACAGATGCAATCAGTTATTTTTCCCATGCAGATGGGCAGAAACGAAAACATTTCCGTTCTTGCATAATCAAATTTCCTAAAAATCCTTGCCTGTTTTTTCCTCATTCTTTTTCTGGACCCATTTCATTTTATAATTGCAAATTGTGATCAGTTGGTGATTATCTAATATGTATTTGTGAATTGTTTCACTTTGAATGTGAAGTTGTTGCATAGCTCTTGTATTCGTTGCTATAATACTGAAGTTGTTGCCTGGGGACTGCTTAACTTGCAGCAAGCCTGTGCGAGTAGGCAGGTAACCAGTGCGTTGTGTTGTGTAGTGGTGAGACTATGCAGTCAGCAGTCACGGGTGAGCTCCAGGCCAAGTGGAATCCCCTTTGACCCATGAAGTTTAACAAGCTGTGAAAACCAGTCCGTCCAGTTAGCTAGCAAAGGCTAAGATTTTTTTTTTAAGATGTCACCTGATACAACAGGCTACAATGGACAGGTTTTACAAAGGGCTGTCGGCCTGGTGGGCGATTTTAGAGAGAAGGTAGAAAAGACGAACAGCAGATAGCAAAGCTGGTCAAGAGAGGGACTCTGCGGATCCCAGAGGGCCCTGACCCAAGCCCAAAGGCCCTTCCAGAGTGATGAGCAAACTGAAGCACAGAAGTGCAATTCATAGACTTAGGTTTTGCCTGGACCTATGTATCTCACATCTGGCTCTAAAATATTTTTCTTAAGACAATCTCCTCAGACCTCCTAAGCAGAGAGGTTTTGTTGTGGAAAGAACTATACAGAGCAGCAGCCTTGTGAGTATCTAGGAGCTGGAGTCTGCCATGGTCCAGGTGGGCACTCCTTGCTTCAGGTACTTTACAACCTTCCTCCTTCAGGAGGCTGCAGACTCAGGACCTCGCTACTTGTTCTCTTGGAATGAACAGATACTAAAAACACTCAGGGACCTCAATCAGCTAATATTGTAAATACTGAAAATAATCAAAGTAATGCTACTTTAATCTTGCATTGCAGTTAATTAAAGATAATTAAGAGGTGAAACTTAAGAGTTGTTTTTTTAAGTGCTAACTCTTTCAACTTTGATCGAGAGTTTTTGTTTGTTTTTTTAGTCTAAAACCAGGCTTGCAGATAAAGGCACAGCCTGTGTTACTGTTAATCTTTGAAAACACCTTTTAGCAAGATAGCTGTTGGGATGCAGTTCAACCGTGTGACTGGTATGGACCAGGGTATACTGGTATGGACCCTTGGACGAGGGACTTGCAGCAGATGGGACAGAATTTCAAACTGCTGCCTTCAGTGCTGATAGTAAGCATGCAAATAATTTTGGAAAATCTGGTTGTAGGTGCTGCTTCTACAAAGTTTTAAGTTTCTAACAAATATATTAAAAATTCTACAAGTTTGAAGGAATAACACAAAGACTGTTAAATTAATCCTCCCTCTGTATCCACTCTGCACTTAATGCTCCATTTCAGTTTCATAGCCATGGTCAGCCAGTTAGTTCAGTGGACTGGTCAGGCCTTGTATATAGGTGATAACTCCGTGATGAGTGAAACTCTTTCTATTATAGCTACTCTCAAATTTTAGTTTCTCTCTTAAAACAGCTCTGTGCTGCCCTAGGTTATTAGCATGTTGAAGGTGGAGATCCTGTTCTTTGTCGGAGCCCAACAAGAAGTGTTATTAACTGGTAGGAAGCAGTCAAGTGAAACAATATGTATATGAAGTAATTAGCAGACCACAAGTCCCCAACAAACATTAGTAACTTCTACTAAAGGGCTTTTTACTAGCTGAAAAATGTGCAAGAAAAATTGCATTCAAATAAAGCTAGCCTATTCCCCTGGTCTCATTTGGGACTTTATGAAAATAGTTGAAGGTTGTTAAAGGTGATAAACTGGTCTAGCCTGGGCCTATTCTTGATGTTTCAGTGCTCTCCAAGTGCTTTATGTGTTCAGAGAACTTCACCAACATGCTACTTCATACTTACTGCACTCTTTTGACATAAGCAAAAACTATTCCCCTATTTGAGAAAAAAACTGAGGTAGTGACTGGTTAGTATGAGATCTAAGTGAAAGATGGGAGATGGCCTTGGGAGATTAGATCCAGGTTTCTTGATTCCAAATTCCCTACAGATCAAACTGCTACATGTGTAGTTTTATCCTACCTGGCTAAAACAATGAAAATGCTGAAGAAGGAAGATTATTTTACTAGACAGTGATCCAGCTTGGAGACAAGATCTAGAAAGAGCGAGTCTAGTGAGCTAGAAAGTGTATCTGGGAGAAGAGAAAGAAGGGTATTCTCCTTTGTGGTTGAAAGATAACTATTTCTAAAAAAAAAGAGATGCCTTTTTGCTCTGTGTTGACTGTTTTCTCTATCTTCACTTGTGACCCCCAGCAATTCAGGATTATCTGATATACTGGAAAAGGAGGTCACTAGTTGTGATACATATGTAAAGAAAGTTGCAAAGGTTTACCACTGCAAATACAACATACCTTGAAAGGAGGACTCACTGTGTCACAAAATACCTAGCTATGCTCAAAGACTGGCAGAGCTGCCTTGAGATAAAAACAAAGTGAAACAAAGCCACCCTCTCTTTGATCTGGTCACAGCTCAGCATATGAGGAATGTAGGTAAAATGAAGGAGAATGATTACTTAGGGAAAAGACTAGCCTATGACACATCTACACATTCAAAGATCAGCTGGAAACTTCTAACTTCTTTGCATACAAAATATCCCACAAAAGGTTTCCATAGTTAAAATAATAAAAAAGAAAATACAAATAACAACAACAAGAAAGCGTGTAATAAGCTTTCAACTCAGATGTAAACTAAGGTAGAGAATGCACAGAATCGAGAAAGAGGGGTCAGTCTTATTTTCAGACAGGTCTGTGTCTGAGGAATAAGGAATAAGGAGTTCCCTCACCAAATAAGTGACCGAGAAACCGTATCTATTAATATTATAAATCTCTGAAGACACTGACAAATATATAATATAGCTAGAAAGATGGTGGGGTTGGTATGTATTTCCCAGGAATTCTTCATTAGGGAATCCCCTGCTTATGCTCTGACTTTTGGCAATTCTGACTTTTGGTATCCAGATTGCATTCAGACTGCCAAGATCGTTCACACAGTCCAAAGTCTGCCTTTGCACTCCCTTTCACAGGAGGGGACCTGTAAGGCCCTTGGTGCGACACGTGCTCTGGAAAAGCCACTGCTACAGGCATTCCTTGTCCAGCCTTCAGCCCCCTCCTCAGCGGCTGCTGCCTCCCAGCACTCCTGGGGGCGGAAAGGCGTCTGTTTGCAAGCGCAGTATGTTTAATTTATTTGTGCGCAGTGAATCCAGTAATTTGGACCATCAGCACACACGCTGGTTGACCACACTCCAGCTGTGCAGCTGGCTTAGGCACGTGGCAAGGCCAGGCCCGTGGCAAATGACACCCCTCTGCTGCAAAGCTATGATTACGAGGGCTCCTGGCTGGGAAGGCTGGGCTTTAGCGCGTCTGGCTGTGAGCACAGATGTGTGCACTCAGAGTCGGGAGTGGTACTGATGATGTTTCTGTGAACAGTGCTGACTGCGGAGTAGTAGGGAGTGGTAGCAAACGAAAACCAGTTTTAAATGAATCACAGGAAGCTTTCTGTATTACAAGCATGCTTACTTCTGTTTATCCGGAGCACTTATAATTATAACTTTTCAAATTTCCGGCACTTACAAGACAGTCTGAATTATCTGTTGTGCCTTTTGAAAAAATCCCTGCCTGTGCTTATGGGACCCAGTTTCTCTGGTTAAAAAAAAAAAAAAGAAAAAGACAGAATTTTGAACAGGATATATTCAGACAGAAATGATAGGCACCTATTCAAGCAGTAATGAGATGAGATTTGAATCCATGCACGTTCAGTGTGAGGTGACCTGCATATTCTTTCTCCTACTCTGAAGTCCAGTTAGAGCTTTAATTAAACTGGTAAACTTGAAATAGTTCCAAAAGAGGGATTGCAGCCTGGGTTCAGTTCTTGCACCTTTTTGGGGACAGCCTTTGTTCCCTGACAAGGCACTGTTTAGTTCCATATTTAGGAAGTCTCATATTCTGAAGATACAGTTACTACCTCTGGTCACTTAAAAAAAGTAAGACAGTCGCACTTTGGCTGCAGCCTTCACTTTTGGCTCGAGAAAGACTGCTTAATAGACCAAGCAAAAAGAAAATTCTTATTTTCCAGGCAAATCTAGTGGCTTCGCATTGGGAACCAGGAAGAAAGGGATTTAATAGGGGCAAGTTGAGAGTTAAAAAAAGAATAAAATGTAATGTTATGACTGCACTAAATACTTTTTTTTTTTTTTTTTGCAAAGAAGAATCATAAAAAGAAAGGGGAAAACAGGAAGACTATAATGGGATTTGGAGAATAAAACCTAAATTATTAGAAGATTAAAACAAAAACTAAAGAACAGAAGGTTAAAACTTACCACAGCTGCTTCTGTTCTTAAAAATGTGAAATTGTAAAGAAGAAACAGCATGCCCAGCCCCCTCTTTTACTCCTCCTCATAGCACAGTTATTCTAGCTATTTCACCCCCAACTGGTCTTTATTTTGTGTTTCTGTTAGCTTTTAGTTTTATAAACAGATGTGCAGGTGACAAAATTAAGAAAGAAGGTTATTGACAAAGAGGAAGAAACCTGCTTGCTGGGGGGAAAACGTGCTCACCAAGAGAGGGATCTGTAAAAGCACCGCTTGAGATTTTGAAAAGCTTGAATGTCTTACCTTGACCTGATCTTCTCAAACTCAACTAATGAACAAGAAGATCACCACCTCTCATACAGTAGGCTTCAATCAGTACAGCAACCCTAACACTGTCTTTGTGGAAGAATACTGTTTTCAGTGAACTGGGTAAGAGTATCTTCATAAGATATAGCTTTGTGATACTTGTGCATCTAGAACAACCCAATTATTTAGTACGATTTTTTTTTTCCTGTTCCAGTTGCTGAGTAGAAAGCAACATGAAATTCCCAAATACAGGTGGCATCTAATTCCTCTCTCCAGGCCTACTGCAAGTGCTTCAGAGCTCCAGCCGCCTGCGCTGCTATATATATATTCTACCTGGAGCAGCGAGAAGGAGAGTGCAAACCGGCATCATGCGCTGCGTGGCAGCCGGTGAGTTTTCTGTGACTGCTATATAATGCAGATGTACAACACTGGGTTCTTAGGGTGCAGTCAGATAAACTGTCTCAGTTGCTGCAGATCTGGGATAGAAAGTTGCTGCCCCTCATGCTCTCTGGGGACTTATGGCAGCCCTCCGCCGCGAGAATTTTTGTGGTGGGAAGGGAGGAAGTTTGGAGCTGGAGGTGGTAACTTGTGGCACCAAACCATCAGTTCATTGCAATGAGCCTTTGATCTTTATCTGTAAAGGCTCTCTCAAAGCTGTGAAGAAAGAAGTTGAAAGAGGCTTGCTTATGGGGAGAAATCAATTACAGACACCTATCTGAAAGGAAGGAAGTGCAGCAAATTGTCTTCTGCTGTGTTCATGAGATATACAAGAGGAGGTGACTATAAATATTTTAGTTTTGTCATGAATGTTGATTTTTTCCTTGAAGTCTGAATAACATCCTATTCTGCTCACTTTTCAATCCTCTGTTATTCTGTCTAGAGGCAAAAAACTGTAATTGGAGCAGGTGTGTGTTTACATGATATACACAGAGGCACAGAAAGGCTAAATATTGATTATACTTTTCATCTTCATATGCCCTCTAGCTAATCTTGACAAACTAACTGTCAGTCTGTCTTTTACTAGTAAGTATTAACACAGACTGACTGAATGAAAGTATGTAACATGTAAAGGCATATTATATCCTTGGCATAAATTAGTCCTAACATGAAGTTAAATAGTAAAAGGGACTTAATTTGAGGTGATTGGGAGTTCTGCAAACTGAAAGAGCCTTTCATTTTAATTTGATCTTGACTTAGCCAAGGAGCCCTTATCCTTGGCTAGGGCTCATAAGTAATATGAATAATTATTAATTATATGACTTATCTAGGCATATGCAGATTTATCAGTAGGGGTAAGACAACTGAAGCCCTGTCAGTGACACTGGTGCAACTGCTCCCTCATTTTAGAGGAAGGCTGAGGTTTATTCTGAATATTTATGAGCAGTATATTAATACGAAAGACTTCACTTGTCTAAATTGTATGGATTTTTTTTTGCATAATTTTTTCCTCTGATTTAGCAGAAAATAGTAGATCTGGTTCCTCTTATCTTTCTTTATTACTTGTGGGGCCTTCACAAATGGTTTTGCATATCCAAAGACTGGTGATGGTCAGGTGCAAAATTTTTAGTATAGCCTTTTGAAATGGAAATATTTAACACAACTCTGAGGGCGTTTCAGGTATGGACACCTCTTCCCTTTTATCCAACTTGTTCTCCCATTTATCTCATAAAGGAGTGCCAAAAATGTCATCCTTATCCTTAACTGGATAACAGTCACGCTGCAAGTAGTACAAAGAAGAAAAAGAAGAATTAGCTATTATGATGTGCTAAGTGAATATTGCAGATCTTTTATGGGCACAGTAAGTTTAATCTTGTGTTCTGCAACTAACCTGCTCTGTTCTGACTCTTCTTGGTTAACTAGTCTTTTATATGCACCGATTGTCTAGATACCAGCTGATGCATTGAAAAAACAAACAAACAAAAAAACAAACCCAACCTACACAGAAGCTATATTCACAAAGCCTACTCCATTCTTCTGAAAGGCTTGCAAGCAGCAGAGGGAAACTAAATGTATGTAAATAAATGCCTCCCTGAAGGGCTAGTACTCTACAGTCCTGTAGGTTATAGCAGAGCAAGGACAGAATATTTTAGAGCAGTGTTTTTTATGCTTTACCAAAAAGAGGAAGTTTAAAGTCATTGCAGGGAAGTGAATAAAGAGAAAACTTGGTATGGACCCAGAACATTTCCATGATAAACAGTGGTAACATTACTTTTAGTCACAATTCTACTGCATTTTTGAAAGGTGAGATGACATTTGTCATTCCTGCAGGCGTGTAGGTTGAAAGCATAGCACAGTTGCATAAAGGAAATGAAGGTGAATGGAAAAGTAAGAAAACTGAGGAAAATAACACCTAAAAACGTGAGTGAATTAGACATAGAAAGAAGAAAGCTCATCTTCGATTTTGAGTTAGAATATGGTGAATTAATTTATTTTTCCTCCTGTCTACCTCTTCCACACACTTCAGATCTGGCATTTTAGTTCTGGCCACCTATTGAAGGACAACTAAAAAAAAAAAAAATCTATGTTCAATTATGTAATGGTGTGACCAAGATTTAGCCAGGTGTTTAAGCACACATCTAACTTGAACTGCCTTAAAGTTATGTACTGAAATGTTGTGGTCTTGCTAATGTAGGCACATAAGCACCGATATCAATAAATTCACTTCATGATCTGAATGCAGTCTTCATCAGTGTCTGTGTCATTGCTTGCTGCTAAAATACATTTTCTAATGTAGTGATTTTAATCCACTGAGTTCATGAACTTGGAGTAATATAAAGTGGTGTGCTTTTTCAATGGACTGGAAAACTTTGTGGGCTCAGTAGCGTGAAGGCAAGGCTCTTTGTACTAGAGAAGAGGTGGTCTTGGGCTTTTTAAAATCAACTTCTTACTCTTCTCCTTAAACCAAAAGTGCATTTATATGCATAATGGTCTGCATTTGCTCAACCAAATAGTACTCTGACAACTGAAAGAAAGAGAGTAGATCTTCTAGGTAGGGCATTAAACATTCTTATTAACCAGTTTCTACAGACAAAATAACCTCAGATATCTAATCTTCCCCAGTATTTGCAAGTCACTGATACGGGTTCCAATGGAATAGCTTTTAGGTAAGTAAGTGCTAAGACACTCTGTAAGCAAAAGATGCAAGAAATTAATAAATTCTCTCATTTTAAGATTTTTTAAAAATAAATTCACATTGCTTTTGTAGAGGCAAGATTTGTCTTAAAAAAGAAGAAAAAAACTAACTGCATGCTTGGTTCAATTCAAACTTACTCAGCAAGAACAATAATAAAGGAGAAAAAACCCAACACACTCACAACTGGACTTTCAGCATGGCTTTTAAATTGTCCTTTACAGTCTAGTACCTCTTTTTCCATTCTCTGACATGGTTTTCCTCTCTTAGGCAGTGTTTCTCTATGGGGCCACCTGAGCTGGAAGAAGATTAGAACTCTCTCTGGTTTCTCTCTAAAGGATAATGTTTTTTTTCCCCACTTTCAATCTTTTCCTTACCAATTAGCAGCTTCGGTGTAGCAACTGATTTCCTTTGCATACTTTTGCTTGTTACATAATGTTTATAGCAAAAATTGCAGATTTTGGATGTTATGTCTTCAGCACTACATTATAATTATAAATTATTAAATTTAATGCCTTTAGCTCAAATGACTTTACTGCTTGTTTAGAATCCAAAAGAGGGAGGAGTAGTGAGATGGACCAATTTTGGCACATCTGATGGGGACTAACGAACACTTTCTGTATGTGGACGATAAGTGTTTTTGCTCAACCTACAGAAGCGTCATATCCAGCATAGACTGCAGGGTGGAGGCATCGCACTAGTAGGGATCTAACAGGAGCTTGTCATAGATTTGTTTTGTTTATTTTGACTGAAGTCTAGCAAGTTTTGCTAGAACTTCAGAAGTATTTTGGTCCAAAAGTTACATGGCCGCCTTAACGGCGCCTACATGGGCTGCTATTGAAAGGGGAAATCCTGCCCTTCTCTGTCGTCTTGCTTTTGACCTCAGTGCTTGTCTATCTATGATGGCTGAGGGAACACACCCAGCTGAAAAACTAACTTCTTTTTCCTTTTGCCAGTTTGGTATCAGCAGGATCAGATCTGGCTCATCACATGGCCACGGACACCCTCCTGCCAGTGCGAGGGTGGCAATGAGCAGTTGGGCAGCAGGGAGAGTGAGGGAGTGGCAGAAAGGTTTTTTGGCAGCAGCTCAGCCTTATGCCGAATTACATTGGCCATATAACTACAGCTTCAGCAGCGCTCAGCTGCCTCTGTGCTTCTTGCACAGATGCCAGTGTCTATATTTTAAGATGTGAAGGAATCATTTAGCCATGTAATCTGACCTCTTTCATTCACAGCCCACGTCACCCAGTTACCCCTGTACTGAGCTTGAAAAATACGTGCTCATGTCTTTCTTTCATATTTTTGCCTCATGATGTGTTATTTTAATTCTTGCTAAGAAATTTACTATAGCATTTATACTGAGCTCATAAACTTGTAGCATTGCACATCTGGCTTCACTGATATCCGGAAAATAAACTTTCCAAAATGTATATATTAAGAGATTAGGAACAAAGATGCTAACAAAATTTCTAGGCTTCCTTTGCCCATCAGTCATTTAGTATGGCTGTTAAAAAACAAACTTAGTTACACGTTATATAAAGTCCTTTCACAGTCTACCAAAAATCTAAAGAGGGTTCCCTACAACCAAATGAGAAAACACTATCAGTTTTCCAGTTCTCTTGTCTGCTGAACACATAAAACTGATGACATTTGCTTTCTAAAAGTGATATTTACTTATCTGTCATAGTGTAACATGCTTTAGCGTACTTAGAATAGAAAGGACGTTATATAAAACTAAATATCTATCCTCTAATACAATAATCACCTACAACGACAGAAAGTATAAGCAAAAACTATATAACGAGCCCATATATTCTTTCTTTTCTAGTGGTCAGGGTCTTATAAATCATCTGCAGAAGTGAAGAGGGGTAAAAATGGCTTTCAACTGATTCATGCAGTCGGATTCTTACCTATAACAGAAATAGTTTTGAGGCATTTCCGTTAGATATGTGAAATAGTGGGTCACAAATTTCCCTAACAACAGTGTGCACCAAGTAATCTTATTAGAAGATTTACGTATGAAATTTGTTTTTAATGAAGAGGGCAGAATGGCAGACAGTGATAGAATTTGGTCCTGACAGGATGAGGTAGTCAGGGAGAAGGATGAGAGTGAGGAAAAAAACGGTCAGAGGAACTGTTGTTATGAAATGCTTGTGCAGAGAGAACACACTGGGGGTGTAAGAGGAGGTTCTCACAGTTGTAGTTTGGGAAGTTTGGAATGGAATGAGATAAGTGCGAAGTCCAGAGATGAGACAGATTAATGAACTGATTAAACTGACAGAAAGCTAGAGGAAACAGATTGTACAGCTTCATCATTTAATCACAACTCCATGTTTTGTGTGGCAAGCTGGACCTAAAAACCCCATAGGAGGAACCCGTATTTGTACTCATCAGCATGGCAAATTTGGCTGGGGACCTCCTTTTCCCCATCCCTGCGTTCCTTTACGCGTTCCTTTTCAATGCATAAAGACTATACCAGCAGCACCATGATTTAATGTGACTTTACATTCAGCTCTCATTTTTGGGGGATTAAAATGGCTGGTGTGCCACAGTAGCTGCTGTTGGGACACAATATTACTGTGCAGTGGACAGTTGTTAGGAGAAGCTGGAAGCTGGGGTGAACGGGTGCTGGAGGTGGGAACCCAGTGGTTGAAGGCCCAGAGGACATTCATTGCCCTTGCTGCCTTTGGGCTTCAGGCTGGAGGCAGCTGAGGCTTTTGCTAGAAAACAGAGCAGGTAGAAGAGCAGAAGCAAAGGGGCCGTGACTTGTGCAGAAGAGGCAGTGATGAACAACTAGACGGGGTCATGCTAATAAGTTGTTAACGGGG